TTCTGCTACTGCTACTGCTACTGCGATGGACTACTCCTACGATGGCGACTACGATCACGACGTCGACTAAGAACAGCTCCTACTGCTACCGCTACCACTACGAATACGACGACGACTACGACGGCGACGGCGACGACTATCCTGACTCTGTGCTTTGACAGGTCCAGGTGCTACTACTGCCGCCACCACTGCTGCTGCCGCTGCTGCTGGACTTACGTACACGACGACGACGGTGACGACTACTACTTATGACTTATGACTACTACCAGCACCGCTACCACCACCAGCGCTGTTGACTACGGCGACCACTATTATACTGCTACCGTTTTTGGTAGTAGTTGGTGCTGGCTGGCTCTACCATGTCAATACCGCCTGAGCTGCTACCACCAGTCACCAGTATTACACCGATGATATATTACATGTGTGCAGACACACACACACACACACGTGCACAATTTTTTACGTGCTGCATGTCCTACCAGCAAGGATAAAGGGCTGGGTCCGCAGCGCGCCACGCTTCTTTTGCCGAAACGTTGCCTCAGCCGCAGAAGAATCGTGGATTGCTTCTTGGGATATGGATTCACTGGAACATACATTCTGAATAATATTCTGCTGCGCACGAGGCAACAAGATCAGCGTTGTGTCAGTGTAACCCACTTGTAACCCTACTCCGTGTTGATGCACTCGAAAATAACACTTCGTGTGGCCTTGTAGTCTCGCCAATCCTCGAGAACGGTGACAGTTGATTCCTGAGCACGAGCAGTATGAAAGTTACAGGAGCAGCAATCCACTGAAGATATCACCAGCTCATAGTCGGGCGGTTGCTTCGGTGCAGATCCCAAGAAATACGTCATCTTTCGCAGTCACACTGCGTCATGTTCAGAGCACAACTCTAAATTCGACAAGCCATGTCTCGAAAGAGAAGGGAATTCCCAACAGTCGCCAGCGACTGGGGACAAGCAGCAACGTCATTGTCACCTCTCGATCCTTCGCATCCTGCACTTACCAACCCAGTGACGTTTTGGGTCTGTTCGTTTCGAACTGTGTGTGACGGCTGCTCAGTGGCCTGTCACGCCATGAACTGGTGCAGGCACTTGGGGTCCTGCCGGTTTTGCTGACCTCGACCTCTAGACGAGACTGCTGAGGCGCCATGTATGGACAAGACCGATGCCGGCTGGACACGAGCTGCGACCGCTAAGTGTCTCCAGAATCCAAGGTTGTGGCCAATTTCTGGTTGCCTCTCTCGGCCAGAAGCCTCTACTAGCCCGACAGTGCCCAGTCGGCCAGGCTTAGGCGGCTTAGGTTCAGGAAAGGAGCGCCTGCGCGAGTTGCAAGACTGCACGTGCTCGGAGAACACCTTCTCGCTCTCCTATCACAAGAGAGTACAAACGACAGGTCATGCAGTACGTCGTCAATCGTTAGCAGCGCGACTACATTGCAACATACTTCTCCTGCGACGCTTCTACAATGTTGGCAGCAAACGCCATGTACAGTATCAAAGTGTGATCCAGCGCTGTGCAGGTCGCGATGTTGTCGAACGTCGCGCATGCCAAATTTGTTTACGGTGCAACATGCAGATGTCAAGCATGGTAGAACATATCCAGGCATGCATCGGATGCCTTCGCATCGGTCAGCCAGGTAAAGACTTTGAGTGCACCATGAGCCAGGCCTGCGACTACTTGTGCTGTTGCGCGAGCGAGCGCCCGGTGTAGCCGAGAACAAGCTGAGACCACCGCGAAGCGCGCCAGAAACTGCCTGGGCCATGCCATGATTGTTGGGGAGCTATAACATGTTTGGGTCCCCCACCTGTACAAGCATGACAGTTGTGCATCACCGAAGGGGTGCGAACTTCCCCGCAACTGCCTGCTTCTAACTCGCAGAATCGACACTGAAATCATGGTCTGGTTGTGATGATCTGACTGACGGAACCCGCTCAACGCCAAGTTGCAAAGAGTCCATTCTGCTCTCCCGCGCGCATACTTTGCACCTTAGGGGTGCTGGGATGTGCTGGGTCTTTCCAGCAATGGCAGACAGTCTATCTGAAAAACTGCGGGATCCTCAGCTAGCCACACTTGGCTCGTCACTGGAAATATTGCTGTACCTCTCGTTAAGCAAAATGTGAAACATGCTCTGCTACGCAAAGGGACTGTCAAACAAGCACCATCCACCATGCTACTTCCTAGTCTTACATTGCCAGTGTGAGTTCACTCGGCAAAGCTTCCTGTCACACCGTGACCCGATCCCACATCAGTAGGAGCTTGGCATACTAAGCAGATCTGCAGGGTCCGTGTTGTCCTGGAGCTTGAGCTCGTAGAAGTCGTTGTCCACCAAGCTTGCAGGTTGGAGAGTATGCCAAGCTGCCAAGCTTTGCCCTAAAAAGTAGCCACCACAGTCTCGTTTCTCAACAGGCCTCACTCTCGAAGGCCACAGGTTCATCCCAAGCCCTGAGATCCAAAAGCTCAGAAGCCTTAGCAAAGCTGCTCCAGAGGCCATGAAGGAATTCTGCTCGGAAGCTCTTAAGCATCCGCAGTCTCTAAGAGCTGCCCAACAGGTGAGTCTCAAGGCGCCGACAGGGCGAGGCCCGGGAAGCAAACACAACACCTGAGAAGCACAGAAATAGCACATCCAATCCAGATCGGGTACTTGTGGGATGTGCACCTAGCACAGTCACATCACAATGCAGACAAATTGGTCCATGACTGTCCCAGCCTGGAACGAGTCCGCCATGTCGAATGCATGACTCCACGTTGAATTATTTCTTCTTGACTTTTACAGTTTACGGTGATCCTATGGACTTCAATCCTTCATTCAGCAGCATCTGTTTGCGGTTGGCTTGCCTCTTGGTTTCGGTGAAGTGCCACCTACCTAGCAGGCAGCACGAATGTAAGCGGAGCTGGGAATGGGTGAGGGGGATGGTGAGGGGCTAAGTAGGTCTTGGACCAGTCGACCGTTTGATGCTTTGCCTCAAGGTCCTGCTGCCTACACGGCTGCGGACTGAATACACGGGTGTGCGACATGTGAAACTTGGCACATGACATCCACATCATAGCGTTCTCCATCCAAGCGACCAACAGGTCCTGCGGCTCTGCAAGGCATGACGGGGCACCGGAGATGCCCTCGCCGACAAACAGGAGCTGCCTCGGCATCGCCAGATTACTGCAGCAAGCTGCACTACTGCCCAGTGTGGAGATCCCGATTCTAACGGTCTAAGTCGTCGAGCTTGCTTTCCTTCTGCCACTCCCTAACAAATGCGATGGCTGAAGTGCAGTCGGCAGAGCTCCAGGTCTCCCAGCTTTAGTGCCAGAAGTGGAGCAAAGTCCTCCGGAAAATCGTCTGATGCCTTGCATTGACAATTTCTGCACGGCGACTCTGCCAAAGGAACTGACATGTGCGCATTGCACGAAGCTCCTCATATACCGGCCCAGCCCCGTGGTTCTGTTGTAAGACCTCGCAAGCCTGAGATCCCGGCTGACCACTCCAAGGATATGCGCGGCTCTGCCGCTGCATCCTGGCGACAGAGTCTCACATCTAACTTCTGTGTTCTGTTATGGTGTGTTAGCTGCTACAATTGCTAACACGACTTTAACTCGACATCTTCTGACCATAGCCCCAACGGAAATGTGTATCCGAGGCCCATGCCATCAAATGATGGCTCGTGAGGTTTTCACAAGAACCAAAACAGCAAGTCTGGGTGCAGCGCCACTGTCTTCCTCACAGCTGCGCTACGATGGTGACGTTTCAATGTCTCTTTAGATGTCCAGATCCCTCACTGAAACACATGTCCAAGAAATGTCCTTGAGATCAGGACTTGGGGTTCCAAGGCCTCGCAGGATCGGCAGCGGGGTGCCCTGACCGAGGCCAAATGGAAGGCCCAAAGCCTTTGCAGGCAGGTGGAACTGGCACAGCCCCTGCATTTTGGCGATTCTGGTTCCTCATGCGTGTTAAACACGCCCCCTCGTTTGGCGATTCCGGCTCATCATATATCTTAGCGGACCGACTGACCGACTGACTGACTGCCTGGCGCTGGGTGCATGGACCGACCGACGCTGGCCGAGCAGCGGGCTCGCGGATCGACGGACGATTGACTTTCTGACCGGGCGCTTGAAGCCATTCAGGCGAACACCATCAAATACACACACAAAAAAACAAGTACACAAAAAGAACCCCCCACCCAGCTGAAGATGAACATAGCTGCGATAATCGGGCAGAGACATCCACCGTTGACTGGCAAGGCATGCCTGTGGTACTGGTCTCTGCACAATAGAGGAACAGAATCGTGACATTATAGCATTGTATGCTAATTGTTCAGAATACAATGTAGCAGTCAGTGTAGTCTTCACACGGCCTCTAAACATGTCGGACACAGCCGTCCGTGTAGGCAGCCGGCGCATAGCACCAAAGCGCTGCCAGCACACCGGAGATAATCAGCAAACTGCCTTGACGAGAGAATCTTGAATCTGAGTGCCCCTTCTATGTAATGTTACAGACAACTTCACACCAGCTTGCGCAACCTCTACTGCTGTTGCTGGCCACAGACAGCTTGGACCCGAACTTCCTGCAAATCGCACCTCAGACCCACAGCGAAGCAAAACAGTAGACATCTTGGCAGCCCCAGCTCCACCACGCTCTCACTCGCTTGCTTGGGCGACTGGCCAGCACCCATTGGTGGGAATGACAGATTTCACCGAATTTCACCCAAGCGTTAAAGCATCTTAGTTAACGCACTGGGCCTGACGCAGAGGTCCGTCGGCAGACTGCTACACTCGTGACGATGTGCCATCGCTCCTTGGCGACGTCGCAGGCTACCAGTATCCGAGCCTCAGACAAATTCAGGCACATGGTCTCCAGCGTACAGGATGGCGAGGCCCTGGTACCGATGTAAGCAAATGACTTTAAACGATTGTTCACCAGCGACTTGCCACGACATTAAACGTCCTGGACAGGCTTTGGCAGCGAGAAGCTCTCTGTCTCAGCACAGAGTCACAAAACATGCCCAGCAAGACCAGGATGCCCGGCGACAGGAACCCAGCAGCTCCAGTCAACAGGCCGACCATTGGTGGCAAGCTGCTTGGTCTTGTCGCTTTTTCATGAGTTGCTCTGGCTGGTTGAAAGGCTTGCTGGTGGAGTCTGCAAGCGTGATGCGTGCGTTCCGGCTCGTCCGACACATGCCGGGTAAATCAAGGAAATCCGGTTTTACTTGGAAGTCTTTCAAAGGTCGATCTCGATACCTCAGCTACGTCCATGAACAAAGACACCAAAACCAATGATCGAAAAGGTACCGCCTGCCACCACGCAAACCCTGCTTTTTGATCAAAGCAGCGACTCTGCCCGAGATTTTGGCTGCGAAGCTGTGAGCTCCTACGGAGCTGCGAGGAGCGTTCAACTCATGTCTCGGCAAAGCCGCGAGACCCTTGCCTACTCGGCCGCTGCCAAGGCTGCCAAGGTGTCAGGGTCGTGAAAGCGCAGCAAGTTACAGCTGCTTGACAGCGAGTCAGATCACGGAGTTCAGTCTGGAAAGATCTGGCGATTGTAAATACGGCTTGTATGTCGTGTGCTGACTGTTGGCCAATTCTCCCGAGCTGCATGCAACCCCCCTCGGAGCAGTCTTATTACGCGTCCTAATGGAAATCGCACATGAATGTAGGAATACCTTCCTTGTTCCAGTGCGGAAAAACTTGCACCGACAAATTGGCAGAGGCTGCGCCTCTTGTCGACAATCATCGGTCTTGAATACATGAGTAGCGGGCAGACGCGGCACAGGCATGGCCGGGGACCTGGAAATTTCGCAAGTCCCCGTGCTATTGCTTGCGAGTGCTACTTTGAGTCTTTGCACTTGTCCACTGGCTTTCTTGTCTTAGGGTACGGCAGGAGCCGTGCCGAGTCACCTAATCTAAGCGATTTAAGCGCTGCTGTTTGGGGCTGCGTGGAAAATAGCCCCCAGACCCGAGTTGCAACACAAGCGTCATGCTCTCAATCAATCCATGTGCTTCAAAGATGAAACTGGTGGCATGATATGAATGCCTTGCGCAGAACACGGCTTGAGTTGGCTGTATATATGATCAGCATCCCTTTGGGGTGCTTGCACGAAGCTCGTGCATCTGAACTTCCTAGCCTCCATGGCACAAATCCTCTGGGTCGGTTACAGGCCACCATACCAAGGCACGCCCGATCCCATTGTAACCTGACTCGGGGCAGAAGCCCAGAACGTAGTTCAATCCATTCGACAAGATGATAATAAACAGCACAGTGTGGAACTGCGCTATGGCAATCGCTGCGAAATGAGCCCAGAAGGGTAGCTGGCCAAAGCTGTCCACGTCGCCATATGCGAAGTCAAATGCCGCCCGAAGCTTCCAACACTTCCTCAACACGGTTATGACATGTCCTGACCCCATGTCCCATCTAGGCATCAAGGCACCACTCGACATGCCTTTCCTGGCACTCAGAAAAATCACCACAGCATTGGCTCAAAACCCCAAACGAAAGCGCGACAACTGTGCTCAAAACCAGGAACACAAACTTCAGCAGATTTCAGCAGCAGAGCGGCTTTTTGAGTTCCTTCGACAATTTAACGGATGGGATGGGCATGCCCGCATCGCCCGCTTGTTGGTCGTCAAGCCAAGCTTTGGGAACAATCGCCTTGAAGCTTGATGCCAAGGACAATGACTCGTGAGAGCTTTTCATCCCGTTTGCGACCATGATTTCAACCTGCGGTGCACCACATGCAGACATCCATGACAATAGGTCCGAATAATACTACAAGGAGCTGACATGCCTCTCCGACCAAACTGTAGCTTCTGTTACATAGTAGCCTGGAAATGCTTGAAAATGATGTTAAGGTAGCATAGGGTAGCTATGGGGTCGACCAGCTTGAAGACGGCACTCGTACAACGAGCACAAAACTGCCAGGCCTCTTCGTCAGTGATTTGCCGCGGCTTCGGATGCACACGCAGGTCTAGTCTTTCCTCGACTGCACAGCAACTTGTGACGTGTTTGTCTTGCAGTTCTTGCCCTGCGACAGGAAAAAAATGGAAAAAACCTGCAGCAACTCGGTATGCTCCGCTCTCGGGATTGGGAGGCATCTGAGAAGGAATTCTCAAGCACGATGAAGCTAAATTCGATGCTTTTGGTGTAGACAAACTGTGTAGGCATTGGTCATTGGGCCGAAAACAATGCAGGGACTAGTAGTTTTGCATCTGTGTCAGTAATGCTCACATCGACAGCACGAGCACATGCATCAAGAAGCAGAAAACATGAGTTCGCGAGGAGTAGGTGCAGGGAAGTCACTGGCAGAATCGCGGCATGAAGCTGATTCACATCCAAGAAAACTGTCCAAAAGCTGTGCCAGCAGAGCATAGTAACGAAAGAATCCAAGACACGAGTGCCAAGGAGATGATGTCTTCAAGAATCTCGGCGGCAAACATTGCCAGCAGCGCCCAGCCGATGATCTCCTAGCGAAAAGCGGCAATATGCGGATCACGTCAAGCGAGAAAAACGTCCACTTAACACCAGCCCAATCCCCTCGCATAGTAGAGCAATCGTCCAAGATCCAACGACTTCTGGAACAGTCTGTTGGGTTGCTGCTACATGTATGCTTCAACCAAAACTGCCAGAGGGCCTGATTCTTGGGCAGGACCTCATTCAGAGTGCATAGCCTCGCCAGGGCTATGGCCGCCACAGCAAAGAACCTTCCGGACATCATCAGCACGGAAAGGATGGTACGTCGCGGTCGCCAACATTGACTGACCAGAAAGCTAGGAAAGGTTCGAAAATTCATACTTAATCGGCTTGTCGAACCACCACGGTAGCTTGCAGCGCAGTACTTTTGCCAGAACATGTCAGAACTGCGCCGACATACAGAAACAAAACACGATGCAAAACCCAGCTCTTGAAGAAAGCTGCCCCGTAATGGGTAAAGGATTGGCCTCGCGTCCTTTATCTGCAACCTGGCGTTGCAGTCGGCCTGAAATCTACGGCATCCCCTTTGTGCATAAGCAAGTGCATGCTGGCGTACCTGGGGTATCCCATGCAGTACTTCACTTTCTGTAGGAGCAGGCTTGAGTTCGTCGGCGTTCTCCACCCTCAGTGCCATCAGTAGGAGTCATGAAGCATACCGCATTGCCCCGTAAAGGTGTTGCCATGAGGCATGGACTGACCACGAGGTGTCTACGGAGTCTACGGCACAAACAAAGTATGTGCCTTCACAGCAAGCGGGCAAACCTTATGCTCATGGATGCTTGCTGCCAGGATGCCGCATGTAGCAAGTGCCGCAAAGCGATCTAGGTATCCCGCACGGACCGTAGCATTCCTTGCGGGTGGGGGTGGACTGCCTGCTCCTGAAAGGCATTATGTAGATGTAACCCGCATGTCAGGCAAACTGCGGGCAGAAATTTTGCAAGTCAGCACAAAAGGGGTTATGAGACAAAGAGGCAAGAGAAGAAACACGCGGCAACGATCTGAGTTCGCATCTTTGCTGGTCACTCTACCGAGGCAACCGAAAGCTGGACCAAGCTCCTTGGTGCAGCAACGGCTCCACACGACTCCAGAACAGATCGGGACCAGGAAGTCAAGATGTGTCTCGTCGTGAGCAATGTCCACCTTAAGAGCACGAGATTATCAAGCGGCTGCACCGAGCTATGCAGCCATCAGGTATCGGATGAATAGAATACATCTCACCGTCCGTCGAGGGGATATCTAACCCACGTCGAGAAGCATACTGAGCAACAGTAGCTCCACGCCCCTCCTCCTGCCCTATCCCACCCTCCTCACACCCACCCGTGCACACCCGCACCTACCCTTCCCCCACCTCACTCCCACCCACGCACAAGCACACCACTCCTACCCGGCTGCCCAGCCCACCCTTCCAGCTCCCCACCCACACACCCTGGCAAGCTTAGGTGTCTCTCGTATATACTGGTATATAGCTGAGCAGCCAAAATCAATGTGAGCCTTGCACCCTCAGCTAAAGCGTGGATCATAGCAATGGCGAGGGAAATCACGACTCCCTGGTTGTCATGACAATACCTCAGGTGCTGCATGCTGCAGCATCGAGATATCACAACGAAATGCCCTATGTCTGCACGAAACGATGGGTCTCAAACGGCATGCAAGCGCAGATCAATGAACTTGCAGGCAAGATTTCACTAGACCTGATGCTTGATGGCAAACAGTCGACTTCAGTATAACTGCAGCACCAGGGGCTTGTGGCGGACAGCTTTCTCCTGTAGTGTAGGCAAGCGGTTCACACTGTCTTGATAGGATATCAACGCTAGCAATGCTTATGTCTCGAAAAAGCACAGGAGAACTCAGTAGAGCAATGACCAGGACCGTGCGTAGCTGGATTTTCTTGAGATTGCCTGTCGGCCTGACCCCACAACTTCTAGTTTCTGCTTGAATGCGTCAAGGTGATCTCACAGGGCACGTGCGCAATGTGGATTCTCGGCATTCCTGCACGAACTCGGCTGAGAAGGTGCTCGCGATGATGTGCAAGCACAGCAGCTCATAACCGCTCAGCATGAAGGGCATCAGCACACCTTCTGCAGAGCTGGTTCCCAGATAGTTTATGGATGAAGTGGATGGCTTCGTGTTGCTTCAGAACTGAGCTCTGGAAGCCCGAAGACGCCTCAGCTGAGGCAGTGGCCGCATCAACACCTAAACCCCGAACAATCTTTCGCTTGTCACGGTTGACCGTCAGCTTAGAATCTCAGTTACCCATAACGGGGGTCATAAAAATGGGGGGGGACTTGTGCGCGGTTCTTAAAAACAAAGGATCCGGTTCCATGGCTGTCTATATTTAGGTTTCCGTGTTCTCTCGAAGCTGACATATGCTGACAAACCCTTCAGTCACAGCCTGACCGAAGCGGTCGCAGGGTCCCCTCCCCACACCACTCAAGCTCACGACAAAACGATGAAAGGCCAAAGTATCTTCGCAATCTACGCAAAGGCTCGACAACAAGCATCCCGCCAACCAAACGCCACTGTCCGTTCACCTGTTTCTGAGCCGAGCCCAGCATTGCAAGTACAGCCCTTCGGCAACAAGCACGGCACTCGGCCTAGCCATGGTCCACTGTGTCGTCTGGCCAGTCCGTAGGCGGAGGTTCCGATGAAAAACCCTACCTTGCAAAATGCAAAATGAGACTCCGAGTGGGCAGATGTCGAAAGTGACTTCACTGACCCAATCTAACATGCCTGAAAGCGCTGAATGAAGTCTGGGAGGGGTCAGCTTCTCACGGCGTGAGGGGTGCAACACGTCCCTGGACTGTGTTGACTTTGCTCGCTTGCCCGTGAATGGCCGAGTAAAGTACTCCTTCTGCTTTACATAAGCATAAGGCAAGGCACCAAGGCTGGCCCCAGAGTGCAAGGCCCCATCTTCCTTGGGTTGTGCATGCTGCTGGTCCACTGAACTTACCACATCCCAGGCAAGGGCAGCTCAAACGACCAGCTGCGCACCACATGGCTACGGCCACTCACGGATGCCTCACCATGCGAAGGAGTTGCCTGAACCCTTTCCGTTCTTCGCTGATCTCCAGAAAGCTTGAAGACATGCGATAGAAATAGCACCTGCTCAGCCTGGCAGCGAAAACCTCTGGTTTACTGCCGAATCACGATGCATACCTCTCGTCCAGCGGCATCAGGCACTTCTGACCCACGGCCTGTTCCGAGTGCGAACTGAACCAAAACGACAGTCTCTGGGGCCAAAGAAGGCCTCGCCAACCGCGATGACGATTATGTGTCCCACGCCGTAGGCCAAGACGAAGCCAGGGTGCTGATACTCCTGCAAACACAAGCTTCCGCTGCACTCATGCAGGGGCATTGGCGGAACAGCATCAGCCAGGACCTGAAGAAACGGTGACAGACCGCTACCGACAGTACCGGGACCAACAGCATTCACCCTCCGACCGTGCTGTCGGCAAGAGCGAGTAGTGTTACCTTCATGCATGTCCGCTAGGTGTAGGTGAAACTTCGTATTGAACAGCTTTCGAATCATGGCCATGAGTGGTGCTACCATGCAGCCTCGCCCAAGTAGAGCGAAAAGAACCCCGCGTACAGGGAGAAGAAGAGAGCGATCATGACTGCGGCACCACACCTCGCTGTCCAGTAGTAAGTCATCTGGGAAGATCAGCGACATCTAACCATTATACAGTATACATGCACGTGTGCCGGTGCATCTCATGGACCTTTGCAGCATGCCTGAGGTCTCGGGTCTCCATCACTCACGAGTCAAGAGTCAAGAGTCAAACGCTTGAGAGGCCTGTCTTGCTGCTAGGTGGCCATGCTCTTCGAATGCTGAGGCCGTGTTCGGCAGCAAACTCCGCGGTCATTGTCGGCGACAGCGCCGTCCTGAAGCTTGTGCGCAAAGCAGGATAAGGATAGGTGCCGCATCGACTTCAGAAGTGGCACAAGGGAGTTTCTTGCATATACAAGTCGGAGAAACCTCGAGTCGTAGAAAGGGTTCTGTCGAGAAAGGGCCTGGCTTGCGAAGTTTGCAGCCCGGTCCTGCTGCATACGAGCGCGGTATCACCGGGGCGGATGCCAGTTAATGTGAAGCCGCGAATGTTCGCAATTGCAATTTGGTGCACAGGCACGAAGTACATGACCGTCCAGCCGAGGACACGAAACACCACGGCAAGGCCGTGGCTTTTGGAGATGCCTGCCGGCCACTCGCGCCGGGGCGCATAGATGACAAGACGCAGTGACAAGCTCGCAAACTCGAAGGAAAACCAGCCTGGCAGTCCTTGCTCCGAAACAGCGAAGATCACGAGGCCTCATCTGTGATTCGAAGTGATGCCCCCACTCAAGGCTCGTGAATTACTTTCTGACAAGGGCAGGAACAAGTCGATGCTTTTGCCTCATTGTGCTCTGCTCCAGTTCTGTAGTGAAGGAGAGCAGATGAAGGTATAGCCCGGCCAAGGCCACTTTTAAGTCGCCAACATGTTCACGAGGAGATACAACAGTACCGCAATGTCACACCACAGCAACCGACACCAACTTCTATCATCCGAAGCTGTTGGACAGTACAAGAGCTGGTATGAAGCTCAGGGTCCCGCCTGCCGTCATGAAGACCATAGAGATGAGCGAGGCCACTACGGTGTAGCGAGGCGTTGGCAAGCACAGTTCCACAGAGCCATAAGCATGTCTGGCATGCTTTGCGGGCTCACTTACAGGCCTCGGCTGTATCACGTTGAATTCAAACGTGACTGTAAGCTACTGTTCTCTTTAGTACCACTCCCTGACTTGCCAAACGCGACACTCACTCACTTGCCTGACAAGTGCCGAAAGCTTGAAGCTTCCTCGAGGCAGGTCGAAATGAGTCGAGGTACAAAGACACGGGCTGCCCACTCGGCTGCGTTGGGCTTACTCTCGCGGAAGACGTCAGAGGGGGCGAGGGCGCCGACATCAAGCTTCATGAAGGCAAGAAAACGGAGAGGGGCCGTGAATGGGTTCGTTGGTCACACTTATGCGGCAGTCCCATGGCAGGGAACGGTATTCAATCTTGGTTTTGTCGAGTTTGCTCATCGCCACCGGAATCTCTTAGTAGAATTAGAAGAAGATGATGGTAGAACCATGTGTCACGCAAGCGATAAAGTCAGAGCCATCAAGCTTCAGCAGATCGAGAAGCCTGGGAAGCCCTCGAAGCGCATCCGTCGACTGGATGGGGTCCTCCTACGGCCAACAGAAACTCGTTCGCGGGAGAAGAAAACTATTTACCTCTTCTCTTAATTATACCACTGGATTCCCAGTCCCAGTTGCCTGAAAGTCTAAAGTTCTCGTCTTCGTTCCGAAGGCTAGCAAGCTGGAAGATGGAATCTTTTTTCATGGCACCGCGCAGCCACTCACCTCGCAAGCAGCCCGCGGCACGCACAGGTCCCATACTTGCAAAATGCACCGATCAAGTGTAGCAACAGGCTTCGTCTAGCTCTCTAGCTAGCCCGGTTGTTTTGGACCATGTGTGCATCGGCACTGCCATCCAGGTGGCCATCCACTGCGTGTGCCCCAGCCATTCCAGGACCAGGACCATGCTGACCTTGGGAAGAAGTGGGACCTACGAGATCTCACGCGTTCTAAATTCGTCTGTTGGAGCATCAAACCTGACAGAAAGCCTCTGAACCGACAGCGGCAGCGCCACCGCCTGTGGGAGTCCTACTTCTACAATCGCGAATCCAGACCGGATCTGGACCCCGTGGTCCTTGCGGACCTCAACTTGGTGTTGGCCTGGACGAGTCGGGCGATCGAGGAATATCACACCGGCACCCATGCGATGTCCTCCAACTCCATCCAGGAAAACGGACGTAGCACCTACTGCTAGATCACCAATAGCATTCTCCTTCCAATTGCCAATTGCACCCCAAGCTTTCCAGACTTCAAGAGCTATCCGACAGAATCCCCGAGAACCCTACAGAGACCACAAGAATCCACAACAAGGATACATCATGAACCTGAACACAAATTCCCTTTAACTCCAACAGGGCCCACTGCGCTAAAGGCAATACTTAGCAGGCTGCTGTTATGGATACGAACCTGTGACTGCGTCGCTTTTCAACAGGCCAATCCTTAAGCCGACTTCTCATGCTCGAGCTTTTCACGGAAAATCCGAGCTTCCGGCCACTGCGGGCTCCAAGCAGAGTCCTCGACTGCAAATTTTGCTCCACGGCTCTGTCCTACCACAGTGCCGCAGCATATCCGTACTGCAATTGAGGCGAGCGGCTCCCCAGTGGTTGCTAGGGAAGGCTGTCTGGCCTGGGCTCTCGTCTGGCGCTGCTCTGCAGAGGAGAAAGATGCTAGTGACTAGTGCCCATCCGTCGATTGAAAGGCACTCTAAAGGCACTAAACCAACTCCGCACCGTTGCTCGCTTTCATTTGCGGCCGCCTTTCGACTCTCTCGCACAAGCCAAGCAACCTTTCGGTCCACCCGACTCCACAAGCTCAGGGTTGGCATACCCGGGCTGGCCTGCAGAAGCATCGTCTCAAGTGCCACTGTTGCTGATTGGCAGCAGCCTTACTCGCGTCTCCTCGCCTTGCACCGCTTCATTAGCAGACTTTGCTGCCGGCACAGGTTGTGCCACTGCCGTGCCTTGCAGTTTGAGACTTCATACGAGCTCACGCAGTAACGATTAGCCCTGTCGCGCCCCTGAAAAAAAAGCATCTCATGCGACCAACAGCGGACGAAACCTTGCTTGACGTGTAGCCTGTGGAAGGCATCCGGTTTGGCGCTGCCGCGCTGACCGCTGCCGGACCTGTGAGGACTTACACAGACTTGCACGGACATAGTAAACCAGTGCAAAGGCTCAGTATCCTGAAGGCACCACCCGAGAAGAGCCCACTGCTAGGACGAGAGAAGGAAGGCCCGCTGCAGGACGGTTCCGGCCCCGAGAATGTTGGGATCAAGATCGCAAGAACTCATTGAATCGGCCATCACAAATCTTGAGTTCTCCAGTCGGCCAGTCGAGCCACAGAAATCTTGACGCGCAACCAAGACGGCACAAGCTGGCAGCTGGCAGGATCTTGCAAAGCGCAAGAAGATGCAATAATATTGAATACTCTTCGAGAACTGATTGCCGGACCTGCATGGGACATCGCAGGCCGCGACGCTGCACGCGCGGAGCCGCGGTGTTGAAGCCCTGATGCCCCTGCGCCTGAAGCTTTCAACGAGCACCCCAAGTACGCACGAGAGTGATAGGCAGCAACTTGCAACTTTCAGGTGTTGCTCAGTCTGTCTGCCAATGACGAGATGCATCTGGGGCTCTACGGCAATCTACGTCGGCTTCTGTAAGAACTCTCTTGGACTCTTGGGTCAGGCCTGGACTGCCCGGGCTCCTCCCGCGTGCGCCGCGTGCGCTGCGGGCCGGCTGCGAGCCTCGATGTGCCCATCGAACGCGGGGCGGCGCCCAGCGCTGCAGAAAGGGAGCGAACCAGACGCGACACTGCTGAAGTGGTGGCTAGTCGGCTAGTTCATTCCATGCCTTATGTCACAGGGTCCACAAGTTGGGACAATCCGAGACCTATGACCACAGCATCTCGGGGCAAGTTGCGACTCCGGAAACTCGCGGCTTCACGACCTCGGGCACTGTGACAACGGTTGTTCGCTCAAGAAGCCGATGTACGGCAAGTTGTAAAAGAGCTACGACAGCAGGCTGGTTTACCAAGGACGTACAGGCATACGGACAAGGCATAAGGGGATTAATCACATTGCTAGTGTGGTGGGATTGACTTGCTGATAATTGCTGCCTGACACGACAAGCCTTACAATGCTGCAATCGACCACTCCTGGCCACGCCTTGGCCCGCTACCACGAATGCCTCCAAGTGGCCCTGAGCCCAGGGATCTTTGCCTGTGGTCCAGGGATCCTCGCCGCGTGTGCTGCTAGCAGCAGCAGAGATGCCTGACAAAGCGATCAAGGTCCCTGCACACCGTGAGGTATCGTGTCGTCCATGTCTTGCCTCTTGCATCGTGACCAAGAACTGGTTGAGCAGCCACCTGTTTCCAAACAGTCGAAACTGGGCAGTTGCTAACAAAGAGAAGAATGGGTCGTGAGCGACTTAGGACCGCCGTGAGAGCCTGCTCGGTTTTCGACGTAAAGACAGGAGGGAGGGCAGGATCTGCAGCCTGCCGGACAGCTCTGCAAGTCAAGTCACTTGCTACAATGGACAAAACGCCACGGTGGAAATGCGCAAGGAAGCTATTGCCTCGCTCCCGCCAGCAGTGAGACTGCATTTTGAAGCGAACCATTGGCGAAACCTCAGGACTCACCCTTTTCAGCCGCATGTTGCACGACATGCCATGACAGTTTGGTCGAGAAATTTCCCAGATGGTTTCAAAAGCAGGCCACAAGCGCTGATGCTCCGGATCGTTGATGCCATTGTCCTGAAAGAACAGCGGGTCCAGCCTTTTTTCCGTCTTGGACTCTCCGTCTTCCTCCTGCTGGTGCAGAGAACCACGAGAATATGGTGCATGCATTGCAACAAGCAGCTGGGGGCTAATCAGCACGGTAAAGGCCTGAAGTGCTAGTGTAACGCCGTGGGGGTATGCAAGGCAAAAACTCATAGATGCGACCAAACTGCAGTTTAAAGGATGTCAGGTAAGACTTTGATAATTTGAGGAAGTCTCCTCTATGAGGTAGAGCCGACAGATTTGGTCCACTGTGTCCTTGGCCGAGGGGTGGAAATCTCGAAACGCAGTAAAGTCTAGCTAAATCACGTCAAAACTCGTAAGGAAACTCCCAGAGTTTCTCGTATTCCCCGTTCTTTGTTTATGAATGAAGCAAAACTCAGGCCGCAGCATAGTTGTCTTCCATTATCTGGAAATAGCAGGTGAAGGTTGGACTTATGCTCCGCAGCCAATCTCGTAGCTCCTCCTTGGCTTTAACTTTAGCTCTTTCGCTTGAAGGTTCTGTCCGGAAGCTGTCGCTGCAGCTCCGGCACCGTGAGCCGCTGCCTGGTCGCCTCGTCCACACCCAGCCACCACTCGGACTCCTCCAAGGACCTTGAGCACGGGTACCACGTGAGCGGGAAACTTCGCCTTGGCAAGTCCTATAAGTCCACGTCTAAATGGCCGAGGTGCTCAGCGGGATTTGCATCAGGCTTGAGGTCGGTCTTCGTCCTGTCTGCAGAGAACGGGGCTATAGCTTCGATGGATGTCATATTTCCGTGCTGCGCTGACACCATGTTTTTGGTGATCTCAATCAGCCCAAGTCCTCTGGCAAGCATTGTTGTCTCGGAGATGAGAAGCCCTTGCGCAGCCGGTGCGACAAAGACATTACTGGCACGGTGGCGCTACGGTCCAAAGGATGTGTACTTCACACATCGATACGAACCGAGACACGTCGAAGCTGGCGGGGAAGAAACATGTTCATGAGGCATTGCATCCTGTTGCGGCGAGCTCCTGCCATCCCGAACCCGAGACGCCATCTGCAACAGCCAGCCACAAAGCGCTTTGGGCCGGAAACTGTGGAACTGAGGCAAATGCAGCAACACTTTCGAGGTCCTCAGGAAATCCACCGTCTCGGGCAGTGATGGCTTGGCAACCCTGGCATCGCACGCGCAAAAAAACACACTCGGCCATTGATCACATCAACAGCAGTGTTCGAACTTGGTGCTTATTGATGGCTCTGTCAGAGGCACCTTGGCGGAGGAGCATCAGAGTTCTCCGACGTGGTCGCCGCCGAAGAAGGACCTCGCTCCTGATTTAGAGTGACTCCGTTGCATCTTCGGCAAACTGCCGAAGAGTGATACAGGTTGTTTCCCGAAGCACTTTCCAGCTCCTGCATGAAAGCCTTGCTCTGCTCACGGTCGCCAGACACCCTTGCAAGCAATTTCAACTCTACAAACTTTCCCGGTGAATGACAGAGTTGTTGATGCAGCAAGCACATCGCAGTTCGTCACAACAGTTCACTGTTCACCATGTCGTAGGCTTCGCATGTGCCTGTGCCCAAGCTCCTCCGTAGCCTTAGACTGAGACCACCAGTCGCCATACCTCGCTGCGGAGGAGTTAGCCGTCGTGGACATGTTCTCTCACTGCCTGTTCTCGCTTCTCGCTGTCTAGCCCCAGTTTGCCCGAGACAGATTGCAAAGGCCCTTTGCAAGGAATCAGCAGACAGTAAGAAATAAGAAATAAAGCAGAGCTTCGGCTCGGACGGGCGCGACCACCAGTTGTTGCTCCTCCAAGTGTCTCGGAGCTATCGGCTGATAGGTGCGAAGAAGCACATGCTGAATGATGGGCCTGGCCCTGCCGGCTACGCTTCTGCAAGAGCCAATGACCGGAGAAAGTCGAAGCCATGAACATGCACACAAGTGTCCCGTAGTTTTGCTGTTGCCACGACCAGCCCCAGCCATTCCAGGACATGGCGATGCAACGGAGCGCATGGAGGCACCAGGTCACAAGCCGGCGTCAGCACCCAGCTGTTCTGCGAATCCTCTGCGAAGATCCCCGTGCTCTGAGACCTGCCTCTCTTGTTCGGTTTTCGGAGTGTGTTGTTCTTCGCTGCAAACTTGAGAGAAGCTTGCTTGCGTGATGCTCAAGGGATCCACAATTCCACAAATCTCGCAGCCAACCTGTCGTCGCGAAGCACCACAGCAGAGCCGTTTTCTGACCACGGCATGTCAGAGATCTCGGTCTCAATGCCGTGCGTAAACGCTCAAGCGCCCAGCAGCGCCACGTCGACTCTTGCCTTCGTAGCTGTGGGCGGGGAGGTGCAAACTTCGGTCAGCTCAAGCTTTAAATTAAGAGTGGGGTTTTGGCTCATGTTTAGCATGGCCTTGACCCAGACAAGCTGAAATCTCCCAGGACATTGAGTCGGATAATCCGTGGCTGGACCGCAAGGAAGCCAGCTGTCCATCAGAGCTTGGAAGGGATGATATCCAGGCTTTTGTTTTGATGAGGCCCCTTTAATGCAGATTGCGCTGAGGCGCTTGAATCTGGGTTTCCCGGCCTTCAGGCCCTACTCACGGTCCCAGTCCCAGGTACTCGCGATATGCATTCAGAGGAGCTGACCTGGCCTACTACACACTTCTACGCATCTGGAGCTGCAGTCGGGGAAAATCTTGCCAAGGCAAAGGCAGACGAACTGGGTGCCGAGCTAGGGACTCATCGTCGAGACCCTGACCCTCGTAAGGCAACGCAACGGGGATCACCTCCACTGCACAACCCTCCCAACAGATTGCGAGCTTCTATTTGGGTTGGAGATTAATACTAGACAGACGTATAGACCCTGCAGATGACAACCAGGAACAATAACGAACAGACAGACTTGTATTGCAAACTGACTCCGTTCCGTGCCTGGCTGCGACGCAACACCCTCAGTCACTTCCAGCAGAATAAAATTTTTGGTGCAAAGCCATTCGGCAATGCCATCTGGAGTAATCTTGTTGTCGTATATGGTTGCGCAGGGTTAGCCACGGGTACTGACTGCGTACTAAATCGAGCATGACCATGACGACAACGAATCGGACGCTTATGGTGATGTGCCGGATGTGGTGGATGGGGTGGCTTTTGTGGCGGCGCCGGCAGCGGTCTTGATTGTGGTCGTGGTGGTGAGCAATAACTATCAATTTTGCTATCGTCATCATTGTCATCCGTTTTGCCATTCCTGGCTTTTCCGGCTTTAAAGTGACGTACACCTCTGAACGTTCACTATACTGGTCGCTACTGCACTCATCAGATCTAGATCGTTGCGCAACACAGTGCCAAGCCTAAGACTAGCATTCACTCACTCGTGGAAGCTGCTGATTCTTAAGACCCCGTCTTGTGGCATCAAACCCGGTCTCAGGCCGTGAGTGATGCATTGACTGAGCACACCACCATGCAGGAGGAGGGTCCTCGCCTGAAAGTCCAGGGCACAAAATTGAGTCATGGAGTCATGCACCAAGGCGGGAGTCTCTACCCTTCGATTCTCCCACTGTAGCTGGCCGGACGAGTATCACTCGTGGAGTTCTGAGACTTGAGGTGCAGCAAGCTGGGAACTGCTGCAATACTACAGCACTGCTTCCCCGTGCACATTGCCGTTTGTAGCGCGGTAGTCTCATGCCCCCGTAGGATCTGAAATCCAAGGGAAATGGAAAAACTGGTCCCCACGCATCCCCATGCCATAGGTCCGGTAACTTTCGATGCTTCAGCCTCCAACGTTTCGAAACAGAATTGCTTAAGCTCGTGGCCAAGAGAATCATCTACCAGGAGAATCCTGAGCTGCCAGGGCAAGTCTGGGGGCCCCGAACCGGAACGTGATGGGTTTTGGTTCGCGGCGACAGATCAGCACATAGAGCGCATGACCAAGCCCATACTGTTGTGCTCATGACAGGAAGTGAGGCTCACTGTGCCTGAGGGGCGAAGCATTCCTCAATCAAACTGTATTTCCCTGCCTCGCCTTGGGATGGTCGGACGCAGGTCTCGCAACATCAGTGACTTCTGCCCGGTCACGGACATCACCTCAGGGTGGGCGGCTCGGAGACTCGGAGAAGCCAGAGCAACTGCTTGCTACTCTTGATTTCTGTGATGTTGCGACATACTTCAACTTCAACATGCTCATCTCTACAACCGACCTTTGGTTTTCGACACCGACTCGACCTTCCTGCCCGACTTTGTGCTAATTGGTTTAACCCTCGCCCCGAATCCTAAGGCGCCTTACCCTCTCCCATCCACGCAAAGCTTGGCACTGAAGGCACTGGCTGCGTCACGGCCACATGTCAAGAATTGAATTACGACAGCTGTGCCAAGCCCCATACCCCACCATTCGGAAATCATGACTGCAACTTACATGAAGATGCGGACTTGGATGATGCCAACAGCTTCTTCACCGGGTAGCATGAAGCGGCACGCGCCTTTTCCGCAAATGGTTGTTGCAGTGCACGAGGAAACCGACCAAGTCGAAAGCTCGGCCAACCGTTTACCAAAAGTGGGAATTTGCAAGACCCATACCATACCCGTTACTCGATAGCTCGAAGACGCAGTGTCAATGCACAAAAACAGCAAGCATCTTCCCAACCGATTGCGCATTCAGTACGTACTTCTTGAGCCCTTCCCCTCCAACAAGATCTACCCCCTGCGGTCATCAGCTGATCCATCCGCCTCCTTTTCCCTGTCGCAACTCTCAGCGGGTGTTGTGGGCATCCTTTTGAGTCGGTTGTTGCGTGGTCTGACTTTGCAACCGTTTGCCCTTCACGAACTCCGCCCAGTGCACAAGCTGCCTGATTTGTCCCCGCATCTTATCAGTTATCCGAATGCGAGAATGGAGAGCATCTGCTATAACCCACATACTGGTACAGTCATCATGAGCTTCGACCATGCACAGCTGACACAAACTCCTGCAGAAGCCCTTGCACCTGGTGCCGGCATGCTCCAACATCGAGAACCAAGTCTGTCGGAAAGAAGTCGTCCTCAGTCAGAACACAGCCCTGCCATATGCTGTGACTGCAGCGAAGCAGGGAGAAGGTCGAGAAGGAAGGCCAGTGCTCATCCCAAAAGGCTGAAGACTATTTCAATCGCATGTGCTCCGTGTTACACTGTACATGTGCACGACATGTGCAACAAGAGGTGGCATGCGCAATGGAGACATCGATCACTGCAACTAACAAATGCTGGCATGTATGCATGTCTGGTCAGACACCTCAGTCAACCCGGAATCTGACTGTACTCACGAATCATCGTCGGGTTGCCCACTCTGGAACGGCTTCTAGGGCCATGGACACAGAGCTGGCCACGCCGGCAGTTATGATGGCGAAGCACGCTCCTTCCTGGGATTTAGTTCGGGGGAGATCTAGGGGTAACGAAAGACTATCGGATACTCTCGGCCAGCGCAACTATAACCGAGCTACTCACCAACACCTGAAGGCAGGTAGCCCAGCCAGGACAAGAATCGTTCTTCTTGGCTGTAAACCAGGCTGTGAGAAGCTTTATCCTTGCCTCGCCTCCAAAGAAGACCTGTCAGCTTGCAGCGCCGGTTGTAAAACTGACAGATTCACGCATAGCACACATTGGAGAGAAGAGCTTGCGGACGAGAGCAGGAAGGCAAGATGCTGAAAGGGGCCTCACGAAGCATCTGCTTGAACTTTGGCTCCCCCAGTCTTTTGGCAAGGGCCTCCACCGCCAGAATGATCCTCACGGAAACGCAGGACCTGCCTGCTCAGCCCTTGCGCTGGCCGACGCGGGGTAATATTAGACACACATAGCATGCAATGCTAGATCTTTGCGCGTCAGTCCTATAGCGAAAAAAGGATTCTGTGCATGCGAGGCGCGGATGGACGTCCGGTGCTTGGGGCACAGACAGATCTGTGATGCCAGCCTGTCGAACAAGAGTGGAAACAGGTTGAATCTGGCAGGGGCAGATCGCTCATCCTCCGACTGTCTGGTAACTTTGTTTTGACTGCCCCAGGCTCAGGTCGAGGTCTGCGCAAGCCTTAACCTGAGCACCTAGTCAATGCACCTTGCGCAGCCATGCCACGAAATCCTGAGAGCAACGGGGCTCAACTAGATTGTGCGACAGAGGTTAGAGACCGAATCCGGCAGGGCGAAGCCGCAAAAGCGATATGTCAGTGGCAAGAGACCCGGCAGTGCGGATGGGCTGAAGGCTTCCCCATCACGATTCCGCAGGCCTGGTTTGCATCACAGATCGAGGGGCTCAGGATCTGTAAGTGGTGCTTTGGCCTCCGGCTTGCTACGTCCCTGTCCATGCTGACGTGGTTAAAGCGCTAGGTTTGGGGAATGAGGAATGCCCGGGGCTTCCTACGAGCTGACGGATTCAGTGCTGGGGTTCTTCCAGCCTGTGCAGCCAGGTCGCCAAGCATTTGTAGAAGTGTCGCACTGTTATCGTGCAGTCGAAGTCCAGCCCGATGAAGCCTTTGTTCTCTCCGATGCACAACCCCCCACCTGCCCTGCCTTTCATAGCACAAAATGACAGAATGACCCGATGGACATTCTTGCCTTCACAGGAACCCCACAGACAAGCACACGCGAGTCTTGTTAGAGTCCAGTTGGAGACGCCTGCACTTCACCCTAATCGCACAGCCACGTGACCGCTGGAGGCTGCTCCATGTCGTGGTGGCGCTCCGCGGCTGCGACTTCGACGAGCCCTTGCCTCCAGATCCTCGGCCTCAGGATGTGGTCGGAGCATGGTTTTTCCCTAAGCTTTTACTATCACTAATGCCGACTGGGACGGCGTGGCACAGGGATCGTATGGATGCTGGCAAAACTGCGAGCCAAATTACCATGGCAGATGAGCCTGATGTCTGCTTCGAGCTACCGGCAGCAGGGCATGGCGGCTCAAGGATGTTGGAAAAATCGGGCAATCACGTATGCGAGTAGGGAATCAGAGATCTTGCGAGCAAAGCTTTGCATGTTGCTACAGGCTTTGCTTTGCTGCTGAGCTTTCAGGCTTGAGGTCGATGGCGTCTGCCTGACTCTTCAAAGATTACTATTTATTACTCTTCGGGGTTTGACTCATGCTCGGCACAGCCAGGCAAGGATTCAGGCGAGTTCGTCAAAAGCGCCCGCACCACTGTCAGTTGTAATTGAACTGTGCCGTTGGCCCGAAACAGTACTATATAAATGCTGTCGAAGGTCGTAAGGAATGCAACAGCAACAGACTGGCAACCACAAAGAAAAACACCTCGGGCATAAGAGAAAACACGGCTGACAAAAACACACCTACCTACTGGCGTACCTGCCCACGAGTGTACCTACATACAGCCATACGTTGACATAGATCGACATACATAGACATACATACATACATACATACATACATACATACATCCATGCATGCATGCATACATACATACGTACGTAAATGCATGCATGCATGCATACATACGTACATACATACATACATGCATACATGCATGCATTCATACATGCATGCATACATACATGCCTACACGCATATATACATACATACATACATACATACATACATACATACATACATACATACATAAATGCATGTATGCATACATGCATCACATGTTTGCATCCATGCACGATTGAGCACGGACAGTGTGGCACTGGAGCATTGTTGGGGTCTGCTGTTTCATGGCGGCCAGAAAAGCGCCGAGGTTTACAAGTTCAGGATCTGGGAGTTCATGCGGGAAGCGAATCCAATGCCATCTCTCCAAATCCGCTACATTCCAGGCGCGCACCCTGCAGATCTGAGGGGTCGGGAGAGGGCACTTTGCGCACCTGCAGACTTGCTTTTCTGCCATATAACTAAGATTGTCTTCTGCCGTGCCGTTGGAAGCGGTCCAGGTCACCAGCTTCCAAAGAATGTAGAGTGACAATCTGCCGCCGACTTGGCGCTGTAGTTTTGGATGAGTCACCAGAAGTGGACACCGGACAATACCCATGCTACAACATACTATCATGTCTATGCACAAACATACGCACCAGCACGTGTGGTCCGCAGACGCTTTGCGCTGCCGCACATACTGGCACGCGGCGCCCGTGTCCAGATGCGCTCGGGCCGTGCCCCGTGGCTGAGCCATCTACCCAGCGCTGGCACCTGGCAGAGCGGCAACTAGAGCTTGCCTGCCTGCCTGGCATTAGCCAGTTGACTACATGCATGCGCAAGCAGGGCTGCACCCAACAGCAACCTGTCATGCGAGCTTCAGCACAGCCGCCGATTGTGCACGAGCCTGTCGTTGAGAGCTGGCAAGAAACTTCTCGCGCAGTCTTCCAGATCATCTCCCCAAGGGACCTGTCGGAAAAATCCAATGGTTGAGGTGGTAAAGCGAGGACACAGGGGCACAAGCCGGCGAAGACTATGACATGCTCGGTGGGAAAGTGCGTTTACTTTTGTATTGCAAGGGCGCCTGCATGCGCCTGCGCTCGGGCAGGCGGCGGGTGAGTCATCCAGGACGGGCATTGCAATACTATGGAGTTCTTTGCGCATTTAAGCTGCAAAGCTCGGGTGCGTAGCGGGGTGCTTCAAGACGTCCACCCGCAAAGCAGGGTTTGGGCTGCGGGGCCCACCTTGTTGCCAGCATGCCCTGTTCCAGAGCCAGTTTGACATCTGCGGCTTGCACTTGCAAGCTCAGCCTCGTGCAATGCCACAGAAGATCTGACGGGTCTTCATTTAACTAGAAGTTCCAGCTGGCATTCCTTGGAAAACAATTCTTTCTCATCAACAGCCAAGCTACTCACAAAACTTCCGCGATAGGCCCAGGTCGCGTCCCATGAACTCCTCTCCTTCTACAACTCTGATCTTACATGTCTACGGCAACATGAAGTTGCACAAGATCGCACAGGCATTTCGACACAGCATCATTACTGTAGTCATGGACAGAAAGTGGCGCTAGTGCTCTTGGCTTTACTTTGTGACTGGCTCCACATGTTTAGCAGAAGCTGTGGCCTTCTGGAGTTCTCGCCGGTCCGTAGAAAAACGAGCTCAACAGACTGATGTGAGGCGAGAAGACAAGGCAAATATCTTAATGTAAAGGCTGCATGACCCCGTCCTGAGCACACGACTGCATCAATATGAAGCCAGCCCGCATTGACAGTCTGTCGCTTCCGATACCGTTGTCTGGAGTCCACGCGTCGTGCAAAGGAGAGCCTCTCACGCAGCCAGGTGGAGGCAGTTGAATCCACAGCTGGAATCCCACCATTGATACGAATAGGTCTTTTGTTGGCAACCACGGCATCATAGAGCCTAAGTCTGAGCTTACGGCTTACATCATGCCACAAGTTCTAGACCAAAGCAAGGCTTAGCTCTGCTTCCTCCTGCAAGCTCGGTTATTTGCAAACACTTTAAAAGAGTTTCCAATCAGCTCTGTGACTTGCTGTCGGTCTTGATGGCCTCTGTCGTCTCGACCTTGATTCGTAAGTCGTGAGTATCGAGCAAGGCCGACTGTTGGTATTTGCGGCCGCTTCGATTGGCAACCAGTGTGGCGTGGACCCAGCACAACGGGCGCTCGTTGATGAAGATGGTCTGAAGTGATTCGTCTAGTCCCCAATCAATTTCAAAAGTGCTGCTTGCTGATATTGACAATGTCCAGTGCCGGTGCTTGTCTGGGTCGTCAACCTTCTCGAAGCCAGCCGCTGCCAGTGCCTCGTGATACCGGTTCCAGCATTGCACCCGGATGGGGTCAGAAGGCTGATTGTCCTTGAACAATCCGGGACAGAAGGTGTTCCCCAAGCCGCATTGCTTCCTCTTTCGCATCTGCTTCTTCCCTTTCCTGCAGTGACGTAGATCATGCTGCAGCTATCCTAAAAACCTTCGTCTCTACAATTGTTTGCAAAGCCGGGCCCACATGTCGCGATTCACTTCGCATGTACTATCATTACGGGCTTGGGCCGCACCGCTCCTTGTCGACGTAGCTCCTCCCACCGATTCCAAAACAACAGTGCGGGACCCCGACCACACTACAAGAGATGCCCAAAATCTCACACCAAGTATCTTCAGAGGCTGGCCAGCTGAGCCTTTCGCAGGCCGCAGCACAACCATGTCGGGTCGTTTTGCCTCATTGGAACGTTCCTGTCGACCAGGGCTGCTGAGCACAAATCAAAGGACAGCAGATTTCGCACCTGCACAAGTTACAGCCATCATGCCAGATGCGAACCACGACGTGTTGCACAGACAACTTTACTGGTAATACCCGGGCTCAGCCCTGCTAAGCTGCCATCTCACTCGCTCTGCAGCGACATTTCTTGCAGAGAAAGCGGCTTCAAGATACTGTCGGTGGAGATATGTGGCGCCGTCAGGTTAGGAGGTTCGGGAGCAATCCGGGCATGTCCAAATCGGACCCGTCTGAAAATGCCGCTGACGGTGAGAGGACTCTGCAATGACACGTGTGCTTTAGCCAGGCTGGACTGCATCTCTCCCAGCCTTGACAAATGCAGGCTCTGGCGCCATGCGTTCTGCTGTCTTTCGGTTGCGGCGGTTCTTTACGACGGCCTCGCAACAAGTGGAGAAACACGCCAGCAAAATGAGTCGTCTATCATCACTCGCACTTTCCACATATTAGCCAACAGGGGAGAGCATACCAATTGATGTGCCACGAGCGGCCTCTTCCAGGTCTGCGATCGACCATGTTGAGGTTGTCTCCGGCAGCTTGCTGGTGACATCCTGAATGATTGTTGCGGCATTCTTAGGGCCGCCTAGGTCTACGTGAGTCCACTGCTTGTCATGTGAGTTGTGGCATGCGCCAACTTTGACGATCAAGGTCGACTAGTCATGATGGAATGAGGCCAGCAAGTGGCACATGAGCAAATTGCAAGACTCTCGACCTCATCGGATATCCACTGGATATATCATTAGCCTCGACGACATATTGGCTTAAACTTGCAGCAAGATACGTTCACGTACATGGTGCCGAATCGCACTCCTTGGAAGGTCGAAGGATTGCTGGCACAACAACCGGCTCTTCGTAGATGTGCGATTGTTTTCTGTTCACACAGAACCTTTCTACAATAATGAGTAATGACATAATGACATTCACATGTTCTGCATCCTTGTTGTTCGTCGGGGCACAATTCAAAAGCACCAAACGCACGGCACAGGCCCTCTTGCATTGCGTCGGAGCTTTGCTGTTTGGACGGTCTATATGCTCTCTATCACTCTTTGACTATGAGACTATGAATGATGTGTGGTCCTGGCCTCCCACTCGTGTCCACCCACACGGAGGTCTCCCAATTCGGGTGTCGTGTGAGGCACTTCATGGAGCATATGACAACGGAGCACATCGATTCCCTTTGCAATTGTTTGGTGTAAAAGGCGCACAATGCGATACAGGCGGAGGCAAATATTGGCACTAGTTTGGATGCATTCTGAAACCCAAGTGGCGGACTGCCAGAACGTCTAGCAGGTGGATGCTGTTGGCCCGCAGCTTTGAAAGTTGGCTCGTCCATAAATCCAAGAACCGCTGCAATGCCAAGTCCTTCACTCTGCAGCTTTCCACAACAGAAAAGACAGCAGGCTGATACTTGCCGTGGTAGCAATATAGCCTTCTAAGCTGCCCTGTACGGCAGACAAGGCATGCGTGTATCACGGTGAGTCCTCCCAGCCACATGTCTGGTCCTCGGTTGTCCGCGACTTGGGGCATTCATCCTTTTTTTGCCTCCTACATGGCTGAGCGATTCATCCTTTGAAGGCAGTGTTTCATGGTGAACATCATGTCAGTAAGTTACACCTTCATTCGAACAGGTCTGCTTTGCTCTGCTATCGCCAAGGAGCGATGCTGTTCAGACAGGGCAGCATACGCTCACAAGCAGCATGCAGTGGCAAGTAGGCCCCTTTGAACTCCACAAAGCGCACGCGCATCGTGAGGTTGATGGCGCCTGCGAAGAGAAGTCGCGTTGATCCTGCCAGGGGGTTGCACACGCCTGTTTGCAGCTTTGCTGCATGCATGCTACGCTCCAGCCGCCAGTCCTAGCAAACATGACACCAAGCCCGACTGATTCATGAAACCGTCTTGAAGCCCGTCTCGCTCTGCCAACTCGTAACTCTTATCAAACTTTCGGCTGAGCGGCCCTCCATAAAATATCTCGAAGCCTGACCGCGGCAAAGCAGCGTTGCAAGAAGCGGCAGTGTGAAAGGAAGGTCTGACATGCCACTATCGAGCCACTGGCGGCAAACTTTGTTCTTTCAGCTCTGAGGCCTTCGTGGATGGCATTCCCAGAGCGTGGGCTGCAGTGGTATAGTGGCGCAGCTGTCGCTGCAGCTGCAGGATGTTGGACCGCCTCAGGCATGCCCATAATTATGGTCGATTTCGCGCTCTCCCCCCATGTTCAACGGTCACATGTGACAGTCCTCCGTCTCCCTGTGATGATCTGTTTGGACTTGTAGGCTCATTCACCGGAGCTGCATCAACATGATCTGTACAAGGTTGCTCCGTCGCTGTAAGCCCCATGCGTTCCTGATGCAGAGAGGTAGAGCACATCGGAGCCATCAAAGGCCTCCAACCTGAGGCACTCATCAATCTGCAGGAAGTACGTTGATACATCGTTCAACCTGCCTATACAGCAACATTGAGGCGAATCATCAGAGCAGTTCACATAAAATAGATTTCAGCAAGAGCAGCATGACACGCTTGCAAGTAACGACGAGCAAAGCTCAGTGACCGTGTTAGCTTCAAAGCCATGCACAGCTCCATCTGACAATACTTACTTCGCTAAAGGTCGTTGGGCCCGACAGTTGAAGTCTACTTGAAGCACCTCGTCTAAGCGCATAGCACCACTTCCAGAAAAGGCACTTCACGTGAGCACCGGACACCTCTCCTCAATCATTTACGTGCATGTAGCATTCTAGCGTGCGCTAGCACCCACGTCTGCAAAGTCACTGGCAACACTAGAAAGTGCCGTGATAATCGCCGCAGACTGTTCGTAAATCTTCTTTGGCATGTTGGGCTTCAGATGCCCTGCGGCTGGGACCATCACGTGTGAGCAGCCGTCTCTTCATCTTCTTCCATGAAGGCTGCGGAACCGAATCGGAACCTCTGGACCGAACCTTCCTGAACCGAACCGGAACCCATCAACTGCACAGACCACATTGACAACCGAAATGCAAAACAGAAGGGTACTAGTTATCAGTAATTAGTTATGTAGAGCCCCAACACTTCATCATCCATAGCGTGAAATCCAGCCCTACCGGATTTGGACCCACAACGGTTCGGTGCGGCTCGGTGATAACAAAGTTCCCCACCCGGTCGGTGTACAGAGCGCAAGCACACTTCGGAAGGCTCGGTAGACTGCATCGGGCCCGGTGCATGGGAGGACCTGCCGGCGTGCAGAGTGAAGAGGTTCTGGGATTTTAGTAAAGATCGCTGCAAGTAGTATAACGGTTTTTGCTTATTTCTTGTCAACGGACTTTAAATAATCGGAACTTAAAATACAATCAAGATTTTGATGTTGTCATCGATGCTTTTTCAAGAGAATCTATTTGTTTCCACTGTGTTTGTTGGGCAGGGCCCAGAAGCGCATGGCAGTGCGCCAGCGCATGACGGAACTCAAGGCATTTGGCACTTTCAGGCCTCGAAAGCACGAGAAACTGGACTCTCCCGACGAACACCCACTGAGAATCCTCTACACCGGAGGTTTCTTGATCAAAACTCGGACCGACGTTGGTTTCACTACAACCGCGGGCATCCCCCACACACACTATTCAAGCCGAGAAAGGCTCTGTGAAAGTTTACGCGTGGACAGGCAAGACATCATTCGCCCCACAAACTCGTCTGCCTTCGCGCTTGTCTGGCATAGGAGCTAGCCGGTGTGATCCGTACTATTCCGCACTTGTGGATATGGGGTGAATTGGGCTGATCTGCAGGACTGAAGGCCGGCAAGCTTCGAAGATAGGTCTCGTGAAAGGCAAGGTGGCTGTAGAGTCCTGGGCTTGTCAAGTCCGTTCTAACAAGATCAGATTACATATGCATGGAAGGCCACTTACACTGCTAAACCGTTTGGCCCTCTGCTGCAAAACGGATGGAACTGTTCTTCTATTTTTTGCTGTTTGTTTTCGGCACGTGGAGGGTGGTGGAAGGCCCAGTTTGCAAATTTACAACAAACACAAGGCCTGTATCATGGGTTTTTGACGGGGCCGAGATGGGTTCTGTTCTTCATGACACGATGCTTCCTCAAGCCAGTTTGCACGGTTAAGCAGGGCTTAAGGGGGGTGCGACTAGTCCTTACTACAACCGGAAGCCCGTTTCTACAACCGTATACCCTATACTGCAACTGGGTCTGGATGTGCGGAAAAAACCCGCAACCACCATATCACAGCCAGCCAACAAGCTTACATTTTGCAATAGTTTGCATGGTTTCCAATCTGATGGTCCACACTCATGGAAACACATTCATTTCTTGGAAACAATTCAATTGCAGTAGGTACCGCTCTTCGCCCGGATGCTACGATCTACTAATTCTTCATAATGAACAAGTAAGACCTAATACTACAGGGCTTCTATGCTATTGAAGGTTTGACTTCAAAGCAATATACTCGTAGCCCAAACACGGCTCTACCCCGAAAGCTTCAAACTTTGAAAACCCGTCGGTTTACTGCCCCAAAAACTTTAAACCTGTGAAACCCGAAATCTAGCACTTCAAGGGCTTTATAAAAATAGAAACCACTCTAAAACTAACGATTTTCACAGTTGCCAAGAATCATCATCATCATGATCATCATCATCGCCATCCTCATCGTCATCTTCTTCCTCACCGCCATCGGCATGCTCATCGCCATCGTTATCAGGGCAATAATCGTCCTCGTCGTTGTTGTCGTCATCTTTTCTTGACATACCATCGTCAGCATTATCGTTGTCGTAATTTTCATCCTCACCCTCATCGCTATCGTCATCGTCGCCGTTATCGACAACTTCTTCCTCATCGATCATGTGCATCATCATAGCTAATAGATGATGAAAGTGACGAGCATGGATGATCTGTCTTATCATGAACACGCACCCTCATGTGGCGGAAACCAATTGAAAATTAGAAGACAACAAAAACCACGAACAACTAACACACAGCCCACAGAAACCAATTTGCAATTCCGGTTCATCATAACCAGAGGACTTGGGGAGTGCAGGACCAGGAGACCACGGGACCAGGGGACCGGGGGACAGCAAGACCAGGAGACCGCAGGACAAGAGGACCACCTTCAAGCCAAACCTTTTTAAAGGACAGCTTCTCGCCAAACCTAAAAAAAATGGGTCCAAGAAACAGGTGCAAGCAAAAATGAAGTGAACAAATACGCCCCCAAATCATTAGCACATGTTGCACATGCGGGGTTTGGCAATGGGTCATTGCAAAGCCAAAACTCTTCCGTATGTTTAGCCATGGGACGGTGCGACAATGCACGAGACAATCGCCTTGCAATTGACGCGCTGGTGTTCTCCGGGCAGGACCGAAGCATCGTTTGCACCCGGCGGCTAGCAGCCAGAATCTCTACCGCATGTTTAGAACAACTTGCCACCATCTTGCAGGCTCCCCGAGCAAGCCTTAGGTGCAGCAGCATTGCAGTGTGAGCTGCAACCAACAACGCCGCATTACAGCAAGTTATGCTGCGGCGATACAATCCACGAGATTTGGCACAGTCAGTGGCGTTGACTACAGCACCAGCTCTTGACGACAGCTTTTGCTTGCTTGCTCTCTCTCCCCTCTCTTCCGGCTGTGCTCTCTCCCTCTGTGCCAGGAGGCTCGTGATAAGGACGATCCTTGATGGGCCATTCAATTCGGACAGCTTCCTCTTTCAAGTTCCTGCCAGAGCTTGGGCATCCGAAGGTGCTGCAGTACTGCTCTGAAATCGGTAGGTGCAGCATTTCGACAGCAAGCATTACAGCCACATGTCTCTGTCGGTTTGCACAGCAAATCGAATCTTCATCCCTGCTAGCCTAGCCTGACTCTTTGTATGAAGATGTCAATGGTCAATGAACTCTGGGCCTCAAAGCTGCCAGGAAAGCATGCAGCAGCCTGGTGACACAAAGCTTGTTGAAGCGGATGCAAGAGAGGCCACCCAACTAGCTACCATCCGTGCCATCATTTATCCGCTGTTCAATTCATCTGTGAGTGTAACTACCTTGCCCCCACAGCTGTGGGTGCAGAACTATAACTAAGATATGACGAGCAAGGCCTCCCCAGGTCCATGCAGTCTTGGCGTGCTGCGCTCTGTGCGAAGTCCATCAGCTGCACCAGCCGAGCTTCCACTTTTGCAGTTCGGAGTCCGGAGGGCCGGGCACCTTGGGAACCCTTGCGAGCTGCGAACGCCAAGCGGTCTCCATCATTACAAAACAACAACTGCACAGGTTGCGCCACGAAGCATTGCGCAACAGTCTTCTGTAAAGCGTCATCCGTCTCCAACAAGAACAGCAGCAGTGCCTGATCAGAGGCTGACTTGCGTCGGCTTGGTACCAAGCACCATCCACACTTGATATCTAGTAGCCCCAGACAGTACTTGTAGCATAACGATGCACTGTCACCCGGGCCAAGGCCTGCCACTCTCCTGGCACAAGTGCTGCTTCTCCAGCTCCTGGCTCCCAAAACTTGAGCGAAGCTACCGTGAAACCCTCAGCTTGGCATCTGCTAGCATCAAGCGCAAAGGGCCTGCAGCGGCTGCCTGTGCACCACTGGAGCGCACCAAGCCCACACCTCGTGCCCATGTCCTTTGGCACTGCTCCGCCAAACATGAAGCGACTGTCACCCGATGAACTCTTCCAATGCACTGGTCTAAGAACATTCTTGTGGCAGAGCTCGTAAGCAACCCCTGGCCCACAAGGCTACTGCCGCTGCTGAACATGAAAGTTGGTCTGCTGTCATCCGTGCAAACAACTTATCGGCATTCCTCGGAACCTGTTCAGCACCACGGCTACTGCAGCTCACGCTGGAAACAGCCCGGCTTGGACTTCGAATTTCTTCACAACAGCATCAGTTTCCCAAGCCCTGCTCAGCACAAAGCATTCTGAACTGAACGGGGCTTGAGCGTCGTGAGCAGCAAAATCACGCCGTACGCTGCAGGACTGGAAGCAAACTTCTCGTAAAAGTGCTCCGCCTTCAGCCATCCTGCTCACTTTGCGAGTTTGTGGTTGAGCAGCTGTACGGCTGTATGAGTCTAGTCTAGCATTCTAAAACCTTAGAGACAGGATCGTCCCCCCATGGTCCTTCGGGGCTCAGGCACACGTCCACCCTCTGCTCGTCGTCTGCTTCGGTTGCATCCAGCACTGGGCGCAAGCTCAGCCGTAGCACTGGGACACGTGCATCGAGAACCTCCTTCTTTTCCACGGAAATGACGTCCAAAGCCGGGGACAGCACGGTTTGCAAAAAGTGCTTCGCTTGTTGCTGGCTTGTGCAACGCTGGAAAGCTGCCAAACTGCTCTCGGGGACGAACTCTGCAAAAAGTTCCGGTTGAATCATTGCAAAAATATCAAGGTCGGACTCTTGCTCGCATAGACCAAGGGCAGTTGATCCGAACGGATGAAAGCGAAATGGTTGAAAGCTACCTGACTTCCCACATAGCTTGGTGCAGTGTAGATCGACCGTGCGCTGCACCAAGCCGAGTGTGGCCAGCTTGCCGGAGACCACTTGCTGCCTGAAGCTGCATTTGAGCCAACTCCGCACAGGACAAGACTGAGGCCATGGCATTATGCTCTAGGATGCTCTAGGCGATGGTTCAAAAGCTATTGGATGCCTCTCAGAGCTGCCCGCACGCGATCCTTTCAAAGTTCCGTACTGTGCAGATGCCGCCAAGTTGCAAGGCCGGCAAGTGTTCCAACAACTCTGCTCGCACACTTTCGCCAACCAGTGCCAGGACAGCTTCCACACCCTGCGCCGGGTTATGGCACAGCACATTGAGAATGCTGCAGCAGAGCACCACACTGCCTTAAAGCACTTGGAGCGGCCTGTCCGAGTGTCTCTGTTGATGTGACAAACATCGCACGGGTCGCTTCATTTCACAGTTTGCCGTCTTTACTGAGTGTCCGTCTTCGGTCTATTTTGCCACTATGATACCTCAATGTGTCTGCATATCTCTGTTAGTAGAATATAGTACACAAAAACGTTCAGTAATATCCTTAAAATGTTGTGCTGAATTACTTGTTTGGTCCCTGTTGCTTGCGCGTGGTTTGCCTTGCATCTGAATGCACCACAAGCACGTTGTATGAACGTGCTTGACGCGTGGCTTGCCTTGCATCTGAATGCACCACAAGCACGTGGTATGAACGTGCTTGACGCGTGGCTTGCCTTGCATCTGAATGCACCACAAGCACGTTGTATGAACGTGCTTGACGCGTGGCTTGCCTTGCATCTGAATGCACCACAAGCACGTTGTATGAACGTGCTTGAAAGGAAATCGAACCAAGTCGTATGAATGGTTGTGGGGGGATGCCACGGGGAGGATGCTAAATCTTTCCGCAGGGTTCCTGGCCGCTGCCGTGGCCCTTATCACGGTCCCTTTGGTTGCGGGGAGAATACAGAGGCGCCGCTCGGAACTTACACGACTCCATCTGCGTACCTTCGACTCCGGAAGCTCCCGAGCGGTCAACTGTCATTCACTGTTTGTTCGGCCGTCCGCCGTCCGCCGTTTGTGGCTTGCGAGACACGATGTTAATGCTTACTACAACAAGCTGTGTCTTCTGCTGCGGTTTTTCCCACTCTTTCTTTAGAGCCTAATTGGGAATCAAGTCCTCGCTCTTTTTCTCCCAGACGCAAGGGGCTAGTCTCTTGCTGCTAAAGAGCAAAGGCACCGGGGTGCCTCTCCCTGCAGGGGCTGCCAACGTCTTGCATCCAGCGCTCGTCGGCATGAGACCATCAAAAATTTTCCCCGGCTTTACACCTTTAAGCCCACATCAACACCTTCCCCGGCCGCCCGTGCTTCTGTTTACAGCCCTCTTGCTTGGCTGCGCTTTTGTGAAAACTCCGCACGAGGTGTTTAGCTGGCTAAGGCGGGGCCCTGCCTTTGCAGGCCAGGGTTGGTCTGGCTGAATTCTCTTCCAAGGGGATTGGGCCACGATCAATATGCTTGCAGTGAGTCGCTCATAACGACGCACCTTCTTGCTTTCGGCCAATTCTGCACGCTGACGTTTTAGTCGCCCTAACAACCAGGACCTCTATGCCCAAACCAGGCAGCCAGGCATGGCACTCCTAACGGTTGCTGCATGTCACGACTCCCTTTCTTTCGCCAGGGCTATGTCACGAATCCCTCTCTCTCTCTCTGTCTCTCTCTCTCTCTCTCTCTCTCTCTCTCTTGCTAGCTCCAGATCTAGAGCAGGGGTGTCTTCCCTACTTCCCCTCGGTAGGGATCTGATCGTCTTGGGTCCAGCGCCACAGTCGGCGCGAAACAGGAAAGGCCGGCCACCGGCCCCTTTCCCCACCGCGAGCAGAAGCTGCGTGCGAAACTTTCGAGCCGGTGGCTCACCCCTGTTGTTGCGAGCTTTGGGGGAGCGTCAAACAACGTCGCACAACCATGCAAAAGTAGGCTAAAAGAAATCTCGCTTGCTTGTTGAGGGTGTGGGGATAAATCCCATGGCCACCAACGGTCTGTGTCAGCGCGATCAGGGAATGTGACATGTTCCCCTGTGGTTCTGCCAGGTAAGACCCAAGCACGAAAACACCCTCCTGAACCATGACATTTGGTAACCCCACATCTGGTCCCACTCAGGTCATCCGTAACTCACAGAAGGATTTGCAGCGCCACAACCGCCATACTACGTCAACACGAACATCGCTTTGCTTTGTTTGGGGTTAGGCTACAGTCGAGGCAGACCGACTAGCACGCGCGTCAGCGCAACCCCGTCTACCATGTTGGCCGGAAGTGCTCTTCTGGACCGGGATGGTCCCTGGCTGTTCGCACTAATGTTGTCGCTCCCGCTCTCAGTCTTGCTCTGATATTGCTTTGGGTGCGATTTGACTGATACCCTCTTGAATCATTTGGTCTCTAGCCATTGTGTTGGATGGGTTCCCAGGCTCTGCTTGCACCCGAGCCAGTAGACATGCGATGAGAAGCATCAATTCAGCACGCACGGGTTCTGACATGCGCACGAGGCCAGGGTAGGGCGAAACCTGCCGCAACTGTAGGTTCCCCCACGTGACTGATCCCTTGGGCTAGATTATAACAAACATCTTCTCCACATGACATGGTTGGACCGGGGGCTTGAGCTCAGAGCGCATACCCGGTGCGACACTGTCCGATAAAGCGGCAATTTGCGCTTGAGATACTCGTTGAGAAAGCCCAAACCCTCAATAAATAGCTTAACCGACAACGAGGACGAGTCCGGTCACGTGAACAGTTAGCGATAGACCGATAGATCACGACGTACAACTACATCAAATCTGACTCTTAGATTACCTTCTTATGGTAGGGTAAACCGTAAGCCCGTCACGCAGTTGTCGAGCTTCTGACCTTGCGACCTCGGCTCTCTTACACATGCAATGCAGCTTCAAGCCTGACGCAAGAGTAGCGAGTGCAGAAGATGCTAGAAGGCCGAAAGTAGATCAAGCAAGCTGCCGCACTTCATGGGTTATCTCGTGCAAGATGTCGTCCACAATCCAAGCAAAGCATCTTCTTCGAAACCGATCCGAATTCCCTCCTGGCCGGTGTATGCTGCCCTGGTTGGTCAGTTTGCCTAGCAGGCTGCCGGCTATGCGTACTTTCTGACGGGACAATGCGCACCTGCAGCAAGCTTAGCCAAACCACTACTGACCACTTCATGTTTCGTCTGTACCTCGGAACTAGATAATGACTCATGACATCTTCCCTCCTTCGTAGGCGACTTCGTACCATGCAGAAGCCTTCGCTCGCGCAGTGACATCCATGCTTACAGTCTCGAAGTCGAAGAACTTGTCCTTATCATGGGCGAGACGCAGACATTGTGGCACAGTGTCTCTGTAAATTCCGCCAATACATGCTGGTCCAGATTCTCTGAACTTTCTCATGATAAGTTCCAGGTGCCAGGCGATCATGTTGGATGCTTTCTCTTTGTCAGTAGTTGTGGACGGCCAGTGCAGTGCTCTGGCAAGCACTGCTTCTGCTTCGTGGCGAAGGCCATGAAGCACCATCAAGCGGCCAACCTCTATGGAAAAGTGTGCATACACCTGGCAGGCTCAGGCTTGCAGAGATGACAAGAGGGGGGGGAGAGGACGAGTTTTGCAGCCCATGCCTGGCGAGCATCTGCCTGCCACTTACGCCGAGACGGGAGCAAGAATTGTGGATCCAGGTCCAGGGACGAAGCCATTTCGAAGTCGGCATCCAGTGAGATACAGCGGCGGAACAAGCTGCCCAGAGTCTTGCTAGAGGTGTAGGTGTCCTTAATGCCGGACCCAGGCCCTCCCAGGAAGGGCCTTTACCAACTTCGATCCAAGTCTCCGCTCCAGGCTTCTGCATGAAATCAGGAAAGCCGTTGGACTTCAGGCCCTCCAGCGTTGCTTGCGGAACACTCGGAGGAACGCCGGTCTTCGGAAAGTCGACAGCAAGCGATTGCGATTTGGCAAGCTCAATTGCCAAAGGATCGAGAGCACCTGGGAGGTCTTTTCGTCCGAATATGTCCGATTCAATAGCTGCGGCAACACTCATAAACTATTGCTAGTTTAAGCCTGGCCTTGCTCGGAGGCATCGCAAAAGGCCAGATGCATGTGAGCAATCTTTCCCAGGGTGTCGTTCACTACGACTCGAACAAAGAAGTGTACCAAGTCCTCCTCTGCAAAAATGCCGTTTGCAGCCGGCTGGGCTCCGACAGCAGGGCCAGCCTCTGCCAGAACAGCATCGTAATCCAACGGGTCCTGCATGCAGCAGTCTGGAGGCACCAGGTCTGGAGCCCATATGACACTGAATTTGTCGCCATCCAGGTCTCCACCGCTGCACGAAGCGGCAACAGATTTCACACCAACCGCTGGCAGCACCAGGACATTTTTGAGGAAAAGCAGCTCTGCTCTGTTGACTGCTCGCAACTTCTGAATGTCACCAGGATGTAAGCACGGATTTCCTTGGAAATTACGCGATCCGTTTGGCCTAACAGCCCCAATCCCATCCGAGCTTAAAACGAAGCATCCTAGGTCAACTCACATCGTGATGGCCTCAAAACGACATCTCTGAAGGCCAAACCTCACTGGGAGATCCAAAATTGCACTTTTGCTTCTCGTCTCAAACGGGCAGCTGTAGATGATCACGGCACCTTCGATTACACGCCGCTGCAATCGTTGTTTCGAATCCTGAGCATTGCAAGCCTTAAACTCGACGTGATCAGCCCATGTTGGTCTGTTAAGGGGTGGTTTGAGTGTAGGCATGGGCGTTAGTTCTTCTTCGTCTTTTTTGAGATGTATGAGTGATGGACCATGCAGGAACAGGATCAGGTTTCGGCCCGTTTTGGCCGGTGCCTTCCTAACTACAACGTCCACGCATCTCGAAGCTACAAAGTGACCAAGTGGGGTCTGAATACTTCAACAACTATTCAGCGCATTGCTTTTTCTGCCGGTGCCGGTGCTACGACTACTTCTGCCACCACCACCGCCACCACCACCACGACTATCACCACCGCCACTGCCACAGCCACCACCACCACCACCACCACCAATGGTGGCATATACTGTACTATACTACTATACTACTATACTTCCTGCTACTCCTACTCCTACTCCTACTCCTACTACGACTATTACTACTACTACTACTACTACTACTACTACTACTACTATTACTACTACTACTACTACTACTACTACTACTACTACTTCCACTTCCACTTCCAGATCGCGAACATGTGTCCATGTCCTGCGTGCCCTGCCATCAGACATTGTCCGGCCATCACAAGGACAGCAGCAGTTGGCATCAAGGTCAGAGATGCCAGGTGTGTTTAACATGGCACAAAAGACTAACAAAAGTGAAAGCAGCACCCGAGCCGAAGCTCCAAGCGGCACTGCAAGAAGTTGGCACCGCCCCGGATGGCCAAGCATGCCAAACTATGACCATAAAGCCAACATAGCATAGGATCGCAGCTGTACGAGCGAGGAATGCCTTAAAGCTTCAGGTACTGTACACTACAGCGGAGCAACATAAAAGAAGCATCAGCCTTAGAGCCTCAGATCAGCTCAGATAGATGCGGCCTTGGAGTACAAGGCTCAGGAGAAGCAGCAGGTCGACATTGATCGTGTGATAACAGCACACGGATCTCAGCAGCAGTATTTTTGAACGCACTGCTCAGGAGTGCGAGGCACGGAGCTTATCACGGATTGGCACTCGCTATTGGAGGGCACAGGAAAACATCGTAAGCCATTGGCATATAAGAGAGGCATATTGCGAAGAGGAAAGGGGCGCGGCCCACTGCATCATTTCATGAACAAACCAGGCTGAAATGCAACCATCTACGGAGAAGGCGGCCCATCAGACCACAAAACCTCATCCCGAGGAACAAAGCCTAGCTGCATCAGAAAGAGCAAGTCAGAAGAATCCAGGCGGTCAGCATTCCTGATATGAAAGGCGATCAGATTGTAGCGCTGGCCTGTCCACGGGAGCGTCGCATGCTTGCGACGCGGTTCAAAGAGCACCGGCCGATGCGTGTCTTGAACAAAGCCCGAGGGGCCCTCCACTGACAAGCGTACATCGCCTGAAGGATGCTCCGTCCACAAGCCACCTCCCGTGTATGCTGAAAGCGGCAGAAGCAAATTGCAGGTTGCAGCATCGTTGTGAGAATCAGTGTGCATGTAGGACTGTATGTTGCGGACAATGCTCACCGTGGTAAAGCGATGAGCACAATGCAAGGATCGAACGATGCTGGCCAAGAGAGCTCCCGTCCACTGGTAGCCTCGAGTCTGCCTTCGAAGACCATAGGAATCGGCATGAACATACGCCCCAACCGTGAAGGAGCAGCTGCTATGTGAGTGGGCTGTCGCAGCAGCTGATTGCTGACATGTCCGCTTCGGGGCCTGGGTCGGTAGCTGATCAAAGAGCTTTTGTAAGTCAGCCCACGTGGCCGAGCCTCGATACAAAAGATCACGAGCCAAGCATTCAGCATCTGAGTCAGGCTCCTGCTGTGGCACAAAGCGAGAACTGGTACAGTAAACCCCAGGAGCAAATGAGGTCCAAGGGTCGGGCCCAGCTACGTAAGGGAGCGGAGGCTCATCGAAAATGCTAGCACCACCCTCAGGGTACATGCCAATGTTGCGCGCATCCTGTTGGCTGAAGCCATGAAGCCGACGAAAAGAACTCGCGCACATTCGATATGGGTGTACTCCATGTATTGCCTGAAAATCTTGGGCAAGGTAGAAGCGCTCGGGGGCCATGATGCACACGATCAAGGCTAAGGCATGCAGTAATTGGGCAGTGCCGGACTTGAGAGCGCATGATGTGGTGGGGGCGTCAGACAGCTCAGCTGAGGAGCGCAAGGAGCGCACACAAACAGGCCAGCATCAAGTCAGCGCTGCAAGAAAGAGGCATACCAAAGATGCGGCTGAGGCATTCACACGAAGACAAAGTGGTGGTGGTGCATTGGCGTGCACCGGAGTGCACACACCGCGTTCAAGGACCTGGGCAGGCTCAGCCGTAGAGTGCAAAATGCAGGCGCTGAGTAAGCCATAGCACAGAAAATGCACCAGACAGGAGACTTATGAAGCCATGCGGAAATGTGTGCAAATTGGCAGTCTGGCCCGTCACGGCGTGTGCGGCGAGCATGCAGTAACGTCGGCGGCTGCATCCAGGTGTATCCGACATGCAGACGCTGAAAGAGGCTGCTATATGCAAAACTGACATAAGTCAAAAGCACTGACGAGAAGAGCCTGGACCAGGGCTGAGCATCCTCATCCACAGCAGGCGGCCCGAAAGCTATAAAAGTACACAAGAAGGACTTCAAGGCATTTCGGCAGAGCTCAGGCCATGTACTTGGCGATCTGCTGGGCAAGGGCACTGCGCTGCGCGCGCTCGGGTCGCATGCTCATGGCAATGAGCTGTGTGCAGGCATTGCCCGAGAGCTCCCGCATGTATGTGTTGAGCATGTCCGCTTCATCCGTCCGCATACCAGTCTGCAAGCAGAAGGGGAGCACCGCACCCGACATCTCAGCAGTGAGAGGCCTGGTAGGATGAAAACGCTGCAGGGTGTCCGGGAGAGCAATCAAGGAATCCATAGCGGCCAGGGTAGCCATGACCTTGCTGTACGCAAGACCCGCCTTGGTGTCATCGACGATCTGGGCCTGCTTGTTGGAGTCCCAGCGCAAGTACATCCAGCATGGATCCTCGCCTGGCACCTGCTTGATCCAGCCAAGCTCGAGGAGCTTGTCCTGGTTCTCCTTCTGAGAAGGATCCTTGAAGGATGTGAGCCGCTGCGTGAGCTCTTGTATGAGACATGCCATCAAGGTAGTGCGCATAGGCTTGCTGAGCGTCTCCGGCGCTTTCTCCTTGGCCTCGCGCCAGCGCTTCTGGGCAGTGAATAGAGGGGTGATTACCGAGCACGCCACATCCAGCCGGAAGAACATGACAAAGCCATACTCCGCCTTGATTAAGGCCAAGCAGTCCTCGTGACGCAACAGTAGGCGTTGCACCTGCATCATGAGAGCACGAAGATCCGCATCGGACTGTCGATCCGTTTGATGCTTGCTCCAGCCATGCCAGGATGCACCCCAGCGCTGCGTCTGGGAGTTGCGCGGCGGGCTGCGCTTGTTGCCTCCTTGCTGGTTTTGGCCTTTGCCGCGCCGGTCATCCGAGGCCCGGCCCTCGCCCTTCTCACCCTTGTCTGCTACCTTGGGCCACTTGTTGAGTGGCTCGCCTTCACCCACACCCTCATCGCCCACGGAGGTCGCCGGAGTAGGGGCCCGAGTTGAGCCCGGCCAGTACTGATCGAAAAACTTCATCTCCTCCCTTTCAGTCTCCATTTCTCCTCCAGTCATGGCTGTACAAGGACCAGATGAGGATGGTTCCACAAAAGCACTCAGTCTTGAGCCCTCACAACCCAGATGAGATACGCATTGTCATGATGGGTATCCAAAACCGGCGTGGGAGCTGCGCATGAGTTGTCGTCTTGGTAGGCCCATAAGGCTCCAGCACGAAGTAAGGCCCGATAGTGGCCATGATGCATGCTGTCGCCTTCGTGAATAACAACCGATACAAGCTGAAAGGGCTGCCACACTATGCTGATGCCATCCGAGAAGACTGGGAGCAGAACACGGTCAGAGAAGCGCACAGGAGTGCGTAGCTTTTGGCCTTGGCGAAAGCGCATCAACTGAAGAACCAGCAGACCATCTGAGTAAGCAATGGCGTTGCAGTTGCCCTGTTGGCACCAGGCATTGATAACGGACTGTAAGTCAGTGGCATCGGCCGGCACCGGCAGCAGGATCGGAAGCTCACCCTGGTCTAGTAGTCGGGGGCCCAAGTCTGTGAGGCTACGACGCTCCCAAAGGGTATTGAACTGGCCTGCAGGAAGGAGAATGCGGAGCATAAACTCGGCAGCATCTTCCTGACGCCGCTGAAAACCCCAACCACGACACAAATGAGCAAATCGAGGAAGGTCACTGAGAAGTAGAGGCTGCGACTGCTCCGCGGCGTGTTGGCATACACGCTGTAGAAACTGCAGCTGACTCCACGGATGCTGATGATGCACTAAGCCATGCATAAGTGCAATCAGTGTGGCGTTCATATAGCAAAGTGTATGCGGGTTGCGAAGCCGAAGATTACACGTCCAGGGGGCATCAGCTGGGAGCACGGCAGGAGTGGACGGCACAAGCGTACGCGCCGGCCGACGCGTGGGCTGGAACATAGACGGGACCTTGCCCCCGGGATGGCCATCCGGGGGCGCAGTGATGACACTATGGGTAGCAGCAGGGCTGGATGAGGCTCCGACCGAAGTGAGGGGGAGGGCATCTGCAATCCGAGCACCCGCAAAGGCCTTGCCAAGCGGCGTTGCAGACAAAGTGAAAGTCTTGTATGCCGCCTGTGTTTCAAAAGGCTTGAGGGCTGGGGCCTTAGAACCGGCAAGGGACTTGTCCAGGCGATCAAGTTGGAGTAGTCGGCGAACAGCAGATACCTGGAAGAGGGCAGGACATTTATCTACGTGCTGCTTGATGTTCTTGGCTGTGCTATGGCAGAATTGACACGGCGAGCGAAACACAGCAAGCAAGCTGCGAGCGGTGGATGCGGCATCGTGGTGGACCAAGGTCCAGGCCTGCGCATGCTGCTTTTGCCAATGTGTTTTGACCCGGGAAGCTTGCTGAAGCCGCTGACCGCAGAGAGCACAAACATCACGTAAGGTGCAGATGTACTCAGCATGGGTAGCAACAGCGTGCAAGGGAACCGTGAAGACCACATGCCCAGAGAACGCTGCTGGAACAGAGTCTGGCGTGTGCTCAATGTGAGTGGCCGGCGGAACGGGCGGGTCAAGCTTCTCCTCGACTTTGACCTGAGCGAGGATGTCCGAGAGAGCAAGGCCAGCGGCAAAGTCTCGCTTCAGACGCAAACACATGCCTTGGGTAGCGTGCTTCTCGAGAGCGTGCCAGTCCCCACAGCGAACTCGGCAAAATCTGCAGAATGGCAAGCCAAACAGCGCATGATCAGCACGAGAGAAGACAATGCGCGAGGACTTGTTGAGCTCAGGATGCTTAGCTTGAATATGCATATTCAAACTAGCAGCACCATTGAAATCAATGCCGCACACAGGGCAAGTCACAGCATCAACATGTTGAGAATTGAGCGGCGTAAGTTGGCTCGAAGCAGAGCCCGAAACCAGAAGCTCAATCTCTGAGAGTATGACCCGGGCCTGTTGTAGTTCACGCTCAAGAACATGAGGGGCTCGGCAAGTATCCTGCTGGATCAGTCGCAGTTGCTGCTGAGCACGGGCATGGATTTGCTGTCGGGGCTGCAGTCCAGCTCTCTCAAGAACAGACTGGTTGGTGATCCCATGCTCATGAACACGATGAAGCTTGCGCATGTGCTGGGCCTGAACGGAGCTGATCTTGTGCAGCACCTGGGAGGTGATGCCGACGGAGGCCAAGCCATAGAGAAGCGAAGGAACGACACAGGCATTATATATGCGCTGACGCTGGAGAAGGCTGAGAGGACCACGAGTGCGAAGGACCTGCCGAAGAGAGGCGAAGTTCTGGTCCGCCTTCTGTGTTCTGACCTGGACAGTATGCAGCTCAAAAGCGCCGTAGGAGAGCTGAATGCCCAAGTACGTCATGCGCTCCGCAAGAGGTATGTAATCACTGCCCCGGGGTCCAGGCACAATAAGAGATTGCTGACCATTCCAGTGCTTGGTGTGCTTCCGCAAAGCCTGCTTGACCCAAGAGCCCCGAAGAGAAAGAACAGCAACACATTTGGCGATGCTGACCTCCATGCCACAGCCGCGCAGCGTGTCCAGAAGAACGCGGAGCTGAGAGATGGCCTTGTGAAGTACGGCAGGGGCACTGACCTCCCAGAAGCAATGCTTGTCATCGGCGAAAATACTCATATGCTTAGCCGGCCAACGTTCATGGATGCGACCCTCAACCAATTTGCAGAAACGAACCACCCATGCAGCATAGATCATAGGAGCAATGGGACAGCCCTGACGTAGCCCCCGAGACATTGTTGCAGTGCCCTGAGAAGCGCCATGTCTGATGTGGAGCACAGTCGATGCATGAACGGAAATCAATATCGATGCCAAGGCAGACGGCATACCGGTATCCACAAGGGCAGGGAACATCTCCGAGTATTCTAGGCGATCAAATGCCTGAGAGAGATCAAGCCCACACATTAGCCCACCAACAAGCTGCGCCTGAGCCTGATGTAGAACCTTCGAGGTGTGATCGGAGGCGGCGTTTTGCAGCACCTGTCGAATGCGACGACAATGGGAGCTGCCGCGGAGAATGGCGTCTGTGGTGGAAGCACCCGCACGATAAGCATACTGGGGTATGGCATGCATGCTCGAGAGCACATACGGCTCAGCCTGCTGTTTCAGTATGATAAGAAAAGCCTTAGCATCAGGGGACATAAGGCCAATAGTGCGCAGGTTTTGGGGACAAGAGGGGCACTTATTAGCCTTAGTCAGCCATGCGAGCTGCACCTGACCCCACGACGAGGGAACGCTCGGAGCATCACAGCAGAGCGCAGCCTTGGCAAAATGCTCTAGCAGCGGAGCTACAGTGTCGGCCTGTTGCTTCCAGCCTGCTACAGAAGCCGAGTACCAGGGAACGGCCTTATGAGTTTGGAGGGAGCGAAGGGCCTTGATCCAGGACTCCGCGCAGAAGTAGTGTTCGGGTAAGCGCACAAGTTCGGGCAGCACGAAGGGCTGACCGGAGAACAGCAGTTGCGCATGCTCGACCATGCTCAGACACTCCTGATCCCTGGACATGACACCACCTTTAGCATCCCGAAACCGAATCTTGCGAAAGCCTCCTTTGTTGGTCAACTGACGCACAAACTGGTAAACTCTACGAGTATTGCCCTGGGCGGCAGCTTGCTCAGCCTCATGAAGAATGTCTACAACCCGGGAACGCTTGCGCTGCCGAGCAGCACGTCGAAGCTCCCGATGCTGTCGTTCCAGCTCCATGTGTGCTTTCAGCCGCAGAAAGCAGCAGCGCTTGAGGCGATCCGGGTCCACAACAGGCAGAAGTGGCAAAGTGTCAAGTTGTCTTCTGAGACCCCAAAACCTAGTGATGACTCCCTCTATGTTCAGCGGCGAGGGGGGGAGAGGCTTAGGGGAGGTCAGGTGGAAATCCCGGCGCATGCAACCCTGAAGGCCCTCAAGCGTATCGGCTTGCTGCAACGACGTAGGGAGCTTGGACTCTGTGTCTTGCCTGGGAGCAGCCGATGCACGCTGCCATGGACACCACTTCAGCGGAATGGACGCGTAAAGAAATGCATGCCCAGACGATCTCCAACCCGCAATCGGTGATGGCACAGTGCTGCAGGTCTTTGCCGAAGAGTCAGCCAACGCAGAGCGGGTGAGCAGGTAATCGATCTGTGAGCAGCCTTGGGGATGCCGATACGTATAGGTTTTTCGTGACCACGTATTCAGAGCCGTAAGGCAGTGACGCCGTAGTAAGTCCATGAGACACTCACGATCAGTCACATAGACCTGGAGCTGGCTGCCTTGAAAAATGCCAAATCCTGAAACACCCCGGCGCGTCGAGAGCACAGTGTTGAAGTCTCCTCCAAGAATGATCTCGGAGCGCAGTGGCAGGGACTGAAGCAAAGAGTCCAAGTCCTTCCAGAGACGAGATCTCCGCTTGATCAAATCCTGGGTCTGCTCCGAGCTCTTGCTGCTCCACGCATGCTGATAAAGATTGATAATGTCGATCTGTTGTTTGCCGAAGACGCATCGGACCTGAGTGAGCCGACCCGGCACTGCTTCTTTCCAGGAAAGGCTATGTTCATCTACAAGATCCGACCGTATGGCCGTCATAACTCCTCCTTGTTTGGGTTTAGCTGCCGCTGAGTGAAAAATGTACCAACCGTCATGCTTCCATTCACCAGTGTAGCTCCAGTGAGATTCTTGCAAAATAAAGGCCCCTATGTGGCGCTGAGTTTTCATCCAATGAAAGAGCTCGGCCTTGAGCTCGAGGCTGAGGCCACTGCAGTTCCAACTAAGCACACCCAGACGCTGAGTAGGGGAAGGGGAAGGGTTATAGGAGGGCACCAAAGGCACGAAGTGACTCTTCACCGAGAGGTACTGGCCTCTGTACCACGCAACTCCATCCCTCGCTGCTCTTCGCAAGGCACGACGATAAGAGCGTTTTGCCACACGCTTGTGGGGCGCGGCATTCTGTTTGGGCGGAATCCCCTCATGCTTCGCCGTCGAAACGACTCCTGGCACCCTAGAGGGAGAGGCGCCAACCCTCACGCCAATGGACAAACCGGCACCTCCACGAAGTCGCCCGATGGTGGTCCATCCCCGGACTTGGGACCGGGGCGAGCAATAGCCTCCTGTGCGTTGATGGTCTGCACACGGTAGAACGCTATGCCAGCCGCACCAAGCATGCGAAGAAAACTCGGAGGCGGTGTTGAGGGGGGTCGTGGCCAAACCATGATAGCACTGCCACATCATGAACAAGTCACTGTCTGAAGTGCACCAGAAACTGCGGATAACTGCGCGCACAGAAAGCTTGCAGAGACAAGACGCACTCGGCAGGGAAACACTCTTGCACGTCCTCGATGATGGTCTGCGCACTAGCGCAATGCCAAAAAGCTTCAAGTAGTTCGATCACGTAGCGGCAAGAAGTGATATGCGTATCAAGCAGAATGTCAAAAGCTGCAGCTTTCAAATGAGTGACAGGACTCAGACTCAGCGAGCACATGGCAGGGCAAGGAAGACCCCGAGGAATTTGAGCCGCTCGTGGCGCTTACTACTACTACTACTACTACTACTACTACTACTACTACTCCTACTACTACTACGACGTACAAGGCGAAGACTACCACCCACCACGGCCCACTACTCCGCACTACGACTTGCTACTACCTGTGACTACTACGGCCCTCCCACTAGTCCCACTACCCCAACAATTGAGCAGGAATCTGGCAATCTAGTACCTTCTGTAGTACATCCTGGTCCTAGCAGCACATGACCAAGACAAGCTAGAGTTGCCATAGAACACGTGAAGCGGCAGGCTTGTCCGGCTTGCGGCCTTTTTCGCTGATTGAGTTTCGGGAGATTCTTGCAGCTGAACCCCTCATCCCGAGGGATCGATACATCAGCCAAACAGCACCCTCAAAGTTGATCCAGATGCCTTCAAGCCAGTGTAAGCGCAGAAATCAGTACAGTACCTCTCACAGCTACCCTACTGACCCCACTGAGTCGGAAAGATCAGCTTTGCTCGAGGTATGTCGCATGCGCAGCCATGGCTCTTTGTACTCGCACTGCAGGAAGACCTCGCCTCTCGAGCGGCAGAGCTTGCATGGCACAGTTCCAACTCAAAGCTTTGGATTAGGATTACATTTCTCCAACCAAACAAACCCGGAGACCCACATTAACATATTCACAAAACGCCTTCCTGGAGTACTCCAAGAGGGTCCGGTATTCCCATGGCAAGACATCCATCCGTTATCGGGATCGGGATCCTCGCGCGCTGCACCAGGTCTCGCACCTGACCAGAATCAGGCGCTGGAGCCACATGTCACAGCAGCGGTCTACCATTGAGCACCCATGGCACCCTTTTTCACAAGTATCTGCAAATTCTGGCCTGCAGTCTGTAAGCCCTGGCGAGCCTCAGAGTCAGAAACGCGCAAACAACAGCTGGCACCATCTGTCACGAGTCCTTGATTCCTGCATCCTCTTGCCTGAAGAAGTGTCGAGAAGCACTGAGAGCCAGAAAGGCTCATTGATCAATCCTTTGCCTTCACGTGCATGGACCAAGCGGTGCCGCCACGACGATGGCAACATTTCCTGCAGTGGGATCAGGCAGCAACCACCAGTATGATGGTCCCGTCATGAAGCAACATGTCGCCACAATGCCCGAGTTCAAGAATACACGGCTGGTGAGTCGGCTTAATCTGCGGCGAATTGCATTCAGCGTTTCGAACGCTCTGTCTTCATCTGTGAAAATCTCGCTCGCGTGCTGCCTCCAGAGGTCAGGCTAAACCCAAAATTTCTTGCTGGAGCAGGAAGCAGTTGAGCAGAGATAGTGAAGCAAGCAACCTGCGCACACGTTTGGCTCAAAATGCAGCTCCCTGGCCGCGTTGCATTCAGATTCCCCAGCTGATCGTTCGAGTCTACGCAGCCATGTCAAGCCAGGCCACAGAACAGCTTCCTGTCGTCTGGTCAAGGCTGCGTCAATCTCCCATCGGCTGCCCACGCGGCTAAGGCTGGTCAGCAGGTTGATGATCTCCCTGCAGCTCTGGGATGGGCTTTATCGCAGAAACTTTAAGACGGCCGATCTGCTAATTCATACACCCGTCAGTCACTGCCTTGCCTGTTGAGAAAAACTGGATGGTGCTCAGCATAGCTGACCACCTGAATCGGCCATGCACATCACATTTTCTGCTGCGTTACACCGTTCAGTCCAGGATCTCCAATGGCTGACCGTTAGAGCTAGCCATCGAGTTGCCTGCTGCCTTAGGCGTTGCCGCAATTAGCCTCGATGCCTAGGACAATTGGTGTTTTCTCACCGCCCTTGAAATCAGTCTGCCGCCGAGCCGCACAGAATGTAACATCATCTCCCTCGAACTTTTTCATGGAGGGTCGGTACAGCAGTTTGCAAGCCCGACCAAGCTCGACAGATGCCTTGCGCAGCTCTGGGTCCTGCATGAAACTTCTTGGAGAAACTCTAGATTGGGGCTTTGACTGTACTGCACAGCAGCCACAGCTCACCAGGTCACCCCGTGCACCGCCTGTATAAGCCACACCTCTTATCCTTGCGGTGCAGAAGCCCGAACCCCGTCAGGCGGTGCCAGATGTTGCTCGTTCGAGCAAACCGATGTCGAAGGCTCCCCGGTGCCAATGTCAAAACGGAGGGTGCGGAGTTCTGACTAGATGCAGTACTCAAAAAAGCGGTGCAAGGTTCCGCCCACCCACAGTACGGAGCAATTCACTCAGAGAGGCGCCTCCGCCACAACAATGGTCACCACTCCTTTCAGGCCAGCCCAGCGGAACCTTGTTGCTCAATCCAATGCATCGCTTTCATTCTCCACGCTCTCTGCAGCTTAGGGCCAGGGGCATCTTGAACTTCAGCTACCAACCTTTCCTAAACATGCCGTATCCAGCCGCGGTGCTGGAAAGCTGAAGGTATCGTATCCTCGACTCTTGGCTCCGGGCTCTGAAAACACTCGCTGCACATGAGATAATAAGCTCTTGAGGCAAGAAGTTCAAGAAGCCAAGTTGAAGGCAAGTCTCGAGGCCCAGATGGGAAGCCACGTCACGCGCCAGGTCTTCGCTGATTTTCCCGGCACCATCTGTCAACAGTTTGCCGCTGGGGGACATGATATCCGGCGCTTCGTACCTCTGATGAAATGCCGTGTTTGGAAAACGCTCGAAGTTTGAAAGAGCCCCTACAGTACGCAAAGGAAAACTAGCTGCAGGCCCGGTGCGTGTCGGCATGGTCGACCTCAAGAGTAGGTTCATCTGCCGTCAAGAACAGGCCGAGCCGAGAGGAATACTGGGCGACGGTTTTGAACGCGCTTGCATCTATCCTTGGTTGCTCAAAGCTAAGCCAGCTAAACCGGCTGAATTCCACGCAGACTGGCAATTTCACACCTTAAAGCTACTTACGCTCGGCGCATCTCGTGGGTGACAGCAACTCAGCAGTTCATTGCGCAGCAGTCTGGCTTTCCTGCTGCAGACTTGAGATCCTACTAAACACAGCGGCGGATCCGGCCAACGATCTCTGCAGCAAGGCAGCAGAATTTCAGATCGCAGTCTCTGCACTATCTCCACATGCTCTGCGGCTACGAACCTTAATAAATGACAAATGCACGAGTCCAGAGAGTTAGGAAACTGTCAGTGATGGGTTGCCTGCCGTCAAGCGAGCAGTGCCAAGGAGCATCGCAGAGTGACTGCGAAGCTGAGATGCGGAAGAGCCGAAATACCTGAAGAGAACACCTTGGGCAGTCAGGGGAGTGGTGGACACAAGGAACTGGCCTCGTTGTCGATGCACATGAAGCAGATAGGTGCTACGTAACTCAAGTTGCACAGCATGGCTACCGTTCGAAATGCATCAGGCCAGGCAAGGTACCACCAATGCGCAAGCCATTTCTCAGCACCTCGGCCGATAACAACTTCAACGAGCCCATGGCTGCCACATCTGCCCAACTACAAGTCGACCAGTGGAGATGCAGGTCAGACGGATTCTGCCGCGCCACGATGACGGTTGTCGAGCGAGTCTTACTGCATGCCATATACGTGCTTTTGCTGAGGCGCTCGCACTTTCTATATGCGTCATAATCTCCGTGCCATGAACGCGTTGCAGCTGTTCCTGCCGCCACCATGTCAATGACATAATGACATGGTTGTGACATGGTTCATCATGAAATACAACAGTCAACCAGCATCCTGAAACGGCTACGCTCCATCATTCTCACGGTCGCCAGTTCATCATCATCATGTGGAAGAAATGGCAACAGCTCTGGCAACATCCAACTATCGGAAAGCAGCAGTGCGGACAAAGGAAACAAGGCCTCCACGAAGCGTACGGACACGAAGTTGCAATGACTCCACCGGCGCAGAAGCCTGGATGACTGCCTTGGTGGCTCCAACCAACGGCTAACCTTTGTTCTGAGTGTTGCCCCGCATGACCCCGAAACCATGCAGTGAAGAAGGAGCCGATGCCCCACGAGACATCCCAGTCTTCTCAGGAGCGGTGCTTTGATTGAGCCTGTAATGAATGCCATAACATCCAAGCAGAAGGCTAGTGAACTAGTATAAGCCAGTAGTGAGGCCCAGTCGCATTGGAACAGGTGGCAGCAGAACCAGTCGCGATGGTGTGCAAGCCACTCGTTTCATCAAGACGTAGTTTCCATTGCTGGTCGCCCCGCGAAGCCTGTTGATCTGCTCAGCTGGCATTCCCTTCATGGAATCAAATGCAGCAGTGAATACAGCTTCAGCATCTGCCCAATAAGATTCCAAGGTGGCTTCCAATGTGCTGTAGACGGCTGCTTCAGCAGCTTCAATACTGCCAGGCCCAGCATGAGCTTTGGCGAGATCGAGGCAGTGTGTGACCACTCGCTTTTTCCCGAGCGGCTGCAAAGCTGTGCTGTTGGTGCAGAGCACGCCGACTGCCCAGTGTAAGTTGCTTAGCAAGGCAAGCTCGCTCTCTTTAGGCAACAAAGGCTCTTCCACTGAGAATGCATGGTCGGCATCAGAGATGGCTTCGGCCACATGGGCTATGCGGGTGTCGAATACTGGTACTGGCAGGAAACGCGGTTCTGCGAGAAGCTCGCGCAGGCTCTCCGCACTCACCGCATCAGGCGCGTCTATGCCAATTGCCATCACGAAGCTCTCGGCAAGTCTGGAGAGCAGGGGGTGTGACTGAAATCCGACCAGACGTTCTTCGTAGCTCTGTCCACCCTGTGTGTAGCAGACAGTAACGATGGGCGTGCTCGTCACGGGCAGGTACAACGTCTGTCTCCGAGAAGCCAAACATGCAAACCCTGCCAAGGTCGGCAGCTTGAGCTTGATGCAAAGGTGAGAAACGCTGGCGCCGCGAAGAAGCAGCGCAAACCGACCCGTTTGAAGGGTGCTCCTTGCTACACAAGAACACAGGTCGTGCACAGGTGCCTTATGCCAGCACTGGTCTTGAGGTCTGGAACTAAACGTGTCCGCTCTAGTGACTCTAGTGCCTTAGTGCATAACCTGGCCATATAAGCGCCAAAACTCCACTTGTCCGGCACTTGGAGCTCCACTTGCCCATCGCCGAACCGCACAGTGGCTTCGTCTGAGTCGTCCACCATCCGCCCAGCCTCCCAGAACCTGGCAGCTCAGCATGTCAGGCACAGCGCGAAAGCAAACAGCCGACATGAGACCAAGCTTCGCATATTCACTTAGCGCGTGGCTCATGGCGCCCGCAAAATCTGCCGACTGCCATCCTTGCACAGCTCCATCAATACATGCTAGGGCGTTTTGTGTGCTATAGTGCTGCTAGCGGATCGCTCAATGTCTCCAAGGCGATGCTGTGACCAGCCGACCGAACGCAGGCAATTCACGTGTTCTTGTCTGACACCTATGTGTATCTACAATCAGTCCAAGCGGCTCTTTCACCCGCCAGCTGAGCTTCACGCACTGCTTCCGGGCACTAGCACTTTCACGCCTGAGTTAGATGATGAAACCGGGTTGCCATGAGTCCCATGTAAGTACCAACGAATCCACTTGCTCGCTCTTTGTTACTTCGGTCAGCGCCCTTTCTCCATATTGCCGTGCCGTCGTTATATGCCCTGATTCTTCATGAAATGGTGTGCACCAAACAGGCAGTCTGCATTGCTGTTACCTCCAAAACTAAGAACTGATTGATGCAGACAGCTTTCTCTTCCGTGGTTGCTCTCAGAAACGTCAACCGCATGGCCTTCATCTGCACAACAGCCCCTGACCCGAATCCAAAGCCCTCATCCACTGTCGCGTGGCTGACACCAGATGCTCAGCTTCTTCTGCTCAACTCGAGCTTGGAAGTCCCACGTGCGGCAAATGCTTTCATACCTCCGCTGCAGGAGACAGTTTGAGTCTAATCGAACCCCGACAGTTACATTACGACCAATTGCTGGGAGCAGGAGCGATTCAGAAAAATAGAGCACGGCAAAGCAAACACGAGAAAACAAGCTCATGCACAAAGCAAAACCACACCAAAGCGATGGGCTGAAACCAAGTTACAGCATGCTCGGTCGGGCTGGCCGAGATGATGCCGTCACGCCCTTGACACTGACGATGAAGGCGACGTCGTGGGTGGAGCTTAGGCCCTTACAGGCAGGCAGCCATAAGGATGAGCTGATGGCAGTTGGAAGAGTGGGTCCGGGTTGCCAGGTTGTGAGGCTCGGCAGTTCAATGAAAACCGCCTTCACTGGGCCTTCACCCTGCCGTGAAGGTCTGATAGATGCTTTGCTGCTGCTTTTTGGCCAAACTCTCCCAACAAAAGCCCATAAGTAGCGTTTTAGTCCGGTGGGCTAGGCCCCACCCTCACCCATTGTGTCAGACTCTCTCTTTCCTTTTTCGTTCTTTCTCTCTTTCTTTCGTTCCTTCTACCATGCGCAGCTCTCGAACTCCCTGGACTGGCTCGTCCGCTATGCCACGACATCTACTCGGGAGCTATAGAGAAGGACACGCTCCGTCACATGCAATCTCGGAGTTTCCAGCCCCATGAAGTCAGTCAGAACACTGGACAGGCCGTGACGAGCTCTGCAGGCTGGGTCATCCTTTCTATGCGTTGCACCCGTAGAGCCAGCGGATTGCCTCGTGCACTTGCGCCAAGTCACCCCGGGAACTCGCTCGTACGCGCGAGAACAACATATCATGTGCAATGCGATGCGGACCCACTCAGTGCAGGGTGCGCAGCACTCATGCAGTAAACATGCTTGTGGCACCCTGCAGCTGTCGCAAGATGATATCTTTCAACTCCTTTTCGCCCTCCCCATCGAAGACCACCAATCGTAGGACCAAGCCTTTGCCTCAAGATCATGGAGACATGGATGGGATACCGTGTTTTTGCCGTACAAAGCACAATCAGCTTGAAAGGCTCATGTCGTGCAAGTATGCGCGACCAAAGCGAAATCGCCTATCATGCACCACTGTATCATTGTGGCAGGCCTCCATGAGAGGCATCCACGGTGTTGGCAGTCTCAGCCTGCCGATTTTGGCAGACATCATGCTTTTAGTGCAGCATGTAAGCCCATATTATTACTTCGGCCATGTGAGGGGACTGCGTGCATGCAGCAGCATCTTTCATGCTACTATCCTTCCTGTCCGCTACGCACCACAATCATGGCCTCGTTTCCCAGAGAGACGATCTCTTCCGCATGCTCGACAGAGAGCTGTGCTATCCGCTCTTCAGTGCGAGCAGACGGGACGGATTGTCCTTAGCTCTGACTGCGGTCCACCATGCCGAACAAAGAAGAGATCTTCCCATGTCTCACGGTGGAAACCGGTCTTGGTCAAGCCTCGAGCGGCTGACTGCTCCAGAATCGCCTGAGCACAAGAACAGCTGAGATCATCTTGGAAGAATCGCACAGGACCTGCTTCCAGTCTGCAGTACTGGATGGATTGACGGCCACTTCGAAGAGAAGACAGGCTGGGTTGTTCGAAGCGGCATCCATCAGACGCTCGCGGTCTTCCATCTCGAGAACCTTGGACCGCATCTGGCTGGGAAGCATGACCTGAGCCACAAGGCAATCAAAGATGATAATATCTCAGATCTCAGAACTTCGGAATGCCTAAGTCATGACAATAGGTCCGTCTTCGTGACATTTTGATGCAGGACCAGGTGCCACGAGGCGACTTCTAGCCTTTCGAGCTCGGCCTCTGCTCTGAATCCTTGGAGACATTGCCGTAGTTTGCGAGTTGAGATCTGCAAAAGTTGGACTCAGCCGGGCAGCAGGGATGTCAAGGAGTTCACGCCCTGGAAACGCACCACGAGGTCGCAGGATGCGACGTCCAAGCCCTCTTCCAGCACCTGAATCTGCATGAAACAACCATTCGGCGCCTTCGACTACCGAGGTAACAGGTGTTTTCCTCAACATGATCAAATTCGGCAACGCTCCCAAACACGCTTAGATTGCATCGAGGCTCAGATGTGCACACCAGGAGCCGGGTCTCACCCTCAGCAAAGGCCGCCAAGGCCGCACCCTCAGTTACTCTGCAGATCTCCACTGCCACCCATTGACTGCGCCCTGCGCGTGAGATTGCTGCGCGTTCTGTTCCAGGCCTGGCCCATCTCCCAGTCCATGCCATCCGCACCTCCCTGGCCCACGATAATCCTGGGCAAAGGCATCGTACTATGAGGACTGAAAGATTCACCCAACATCCGACAGGGAGAGCCATTGCTTACCTCAACCAAGGTTCCGTGGAGAAAACTTTTTGGCAATTTCATCATCTTCGTTCAGCACAGCACCTCAGGGCACCCTGACCACGCACCTGATTCACCAAAAGCCTGAGTGACAAGCAGCACGTCCTTGGGCAAACCCGCTCTGAGAGCATCACAGAGTTGGCGAGCAGCCGCTCGGGTCATCACGAAGACGAGGACCCGGCTGTCTGCTGACAGTGGTTGCAGCACCTCCGATCTCAAATACTCACGCGGCAACCACACCACAAATCTCATGGAACTGCACTCGGCGCCAAGCTGTCACTGTCTACCGATCTCCATGCCTTCGAGAGCTGAAGAAGCTGCGGCGACTTGAGCTCAGCCCGATGTTGTGGGCAAGCCTTCACGAAAAGGGCGGCTGTCATCCGCGGCCCACTTACAGCAATCGCGGCCTAAATTTGGCCAGGCCCTTCAAGTCCAAACACACTGCAGGCCTGCAGGGCTGCACGTAACCAGGGAACATCTTCAGCTCTTGCTGCCAAGTGCTTCTTGATCTCCGCAGTGCCAACCACTAGACACACCTCCATCATGGCCACCACCTAGTTGCCATTGCAAAGGCCGGAGCAAACAATATCTTGCACATCTTGGGGTTGGCTCGGGAGAGCCACCTCCCTGCCTGGTGAAGAGCCTCAACTCCCTTGAGATTCTTCTTCGACTCCTGGCAATCCTCAGCTGTCACAGCTACGTACTCTAATCCCGAAAAGTCCCGAAAGCTGCCCTTAAGACTTTGTGAGTTGTATACAGCAGCTGCTAGCCTAGGGCCCGCGCCTGGCTGTGAACTTTTATTCGCAAGGAATCCTTGTCAAGCAAAGACATTGCACGCCGCCGATGCGAAACCAGTACAGGCATGCTAGGCTATGCTGTCAATGTGAGGGCTCGCATCCCGTTGGTTCCCATAGCTAGGCCCGAATTTCTTGAAGCACCACTTTAAAAACTTTTTGAGGATCTGTCCTCCACGCCACGTAGTGCTCCCCGCCAGCGACCAAGGCTTGAAGCATCGTCAAGGACACGCCTCGGCTTCAGGCTTCTTCGGACAAAGTCATCTGGTGGACAGGTGGATGCTCGAGTCTGCTCGAGCTGTTCTTCCGAAGTGTCTGGCTGCAGGAATTCTAATTGCAGCTCCAAATGCTTGAGTTTCACTTGGCACTATACCGAAGATTGCACTGCATCTGCTGTTCATGCCTCAGGGTCATCCCAGTTGCTGCGTGCTGCCAAAATCCTCCGGGATGCTGCCAGCTCCTCCGAATGCTGCTTTGTTTTGACACATCGCACTCCGACTTCAGACCGATCGGCAGTTTTTGTTGCGGCTTCTGGCAGGGGTCCTATCAAGCCCATCTTGCTGGCACCTGCCCGCAGGCAGCCTGAACAATGAGCCCGAGGCGGCAATGACCATTCACTCAGCATTGAAACTTGAGGCTTGTCAGGTGGACTCTATCGCACGTGCCACACCCTGCACGGCAAACCCTGCAGGAAACAATATCTCAGCCTGCCAACCAGTCCAGGGAAAGCTGTTGAGACTGCGAAGGGTCCAATATCACCCAGTCCTGCATGATCTTCATGTCATGGGGGTCTCTAGAGTCGGACTTCACGAACAGCTCGGAGCTTGACAAGTCGCACTAGATGTTAGTGAACTCAACGGCAACTCATGCCAACATTTGCCGAGCTGCTGCGGTCTGCTGCGCCTTCGCTAGGGTTGGCGGCTTGAATACAGCTGCCCCTGCAAACGCGGCCTCCAGACAAATAATGACTCGCTAATATAGGCCCTGGAGGTCTTGCGCCTTTTACGGAACGGGGGAGCTTCTGTCCACCTTTGTCAACTGTGAGCAAGTGGAGCACATGAGCAGCATACGTGTATCGATTCCATGACGACAGGCCATCTTAGTTGTTCGACAGAAACTGGGCGAACGGAAAAGCGATCGCCACGAGCATCACTGAGTTTCCTTGCTCTCTTGGTGGACTGCGATGTCATGCAACAAGTCTCCGTCGATTACCCAAAACCTCCGAGGCCCTGGATACCAAACCGACGGGATAACTACTCCGCTAGCTGCTAGCGTTCCGTGGCTTTCGCATGCCCATCTTTGTTCTCTCATCTTGAAATCCGCTTGATTCAACCGGAGGATTCTTCTTCTACAACTCATCAACCGTTCCAGCTACCAGATACACTACTGCGCAGACACGAGTGGGAAAAAAAAAAAAACAAACAAGAGCCTGCAGATCCCGCAAGCGCGTCTCTGCCACCCGGGCGCCTGGGCTGCGGGCTTGAGCATGCATCAAGAATTTTATTACGGGATGATATTTCAATGATATTAGACCCACCAAAATAAAGAAGCCAACTCTGTTTTCTTCACAGAGTACAACAAAAAACGCCGACTCATTTGACTCTCTTTTCTCTGAGCTGCTCAGCGCAGCGAAAGGCGAGGCAGAGAGTCCCAGAAGCCGCGGGCGACGGCTGGGTGCCACGGGCAGGTTCCGCACTTTGCCCAAGATCCTGCGTTTGGAACGAGATGATCCCTTCTAATCACGCTGGCACTCGGAAGAATGCAAATGCGAGAAGGCTTACAGATTAGATGATGCACGTAAGATCGTGTGAGTATGGTGCCGACCTGCAAACCAGCTTTCACTAGAAATAGACCCGTCCTTGCAAAAACATGCTCGCCGGAAACGTGGTGCGCCTCGTCCACCACTACGGTGGCGAACATGTCAAGGCTTAATTCGTCCTGTCATGAACAGACGCCCTGCATAGAGATACTGTGATTCACTGCCGTCTTACGCCTCTCCTTGGACAGCATTTCCCAAAAAGCTCCACCAGTGACGACCAGCACATCGTATGTGCCATCCTGCATGCATGCCGACTCACATGGCCCAGGCAGCGGAACTTGCCTGTACTGTGGTGGTAGTTTATTAAATATTACATACTGTTGGGAATTGCACGGGCAGTCCTGCAGCTCCCGCATAGTCGCCTTGGTCTTGTTCTCGCCACAAACACGACATACCCTCAACTGGGTCTCCATCGATATCGCTGCCCCTTGCTGGAAAACAAGAGGAACGCGATCAACGATGAAGAGGCCCATACCTCAGCCGACAACGAATCGGCTTCTCACCCGATGGGTCAGGGATCAAATCATCAAATGCATCAAAAGTTGACACGAAAGGATTAGGATCAGTTACTCAGTTGAAAATGCCTCAAACCATACATCAACCAAGTGATTTCACATTTGAGGCAGGCCCTTCGGGAACTAGGCAGGCTCTTCGGGAATTACGACTTGCAAGATCTTGCCGGGGCAGGATCGGGGGAGTATATAGTATGTAGCATGTAGTTTACAGTCAGATATCGCCAAGATACTGCAGGATTGCAGTAAATTCTACTAAAACTACAGTCTACAGTATTTCGTCTGCGGTTGTCGCTGTTGCTGCTATTGCTTGATTGGTCTCGTCATTGTCCTTGTTCTTGCCGTTAGCGTTTGTCGCTGTCGGTGTTGGTGATGAAGTATATTCGTTTCTTTCGCTAGGTCATTCTTTCTGTCTTTCTTGTTTCTCTCCGTCCGTCGTTATTGTTCCTTCTTGGTATTTCGTTATTTCCTGGCTTTCGCTTCTGAGCGGCTAAAGCTCTAAAATTCTAATGATGGATTTGTACCTCGTTGATGCATCTGAAGAACTTGTATTTTGTTGGATGCATTTCAATTCTCACCACCCGATGCATGTCCTGGTTGGGAGCAAAACATGTCCCATCATAACGAGGCGGCATCTAGATGCTGCCAATGCCGGCAACTCTGACTCTAGCAGACTCTTGCTGGAAGTTCGAGCGTTGTGGGAAGGGCTTCATTCGGATCCAAACTGGATTCTTCTCCTGAACAAAGTACACATTTCGTCAAAGACAATGTTGACAAAGGCTAACACCCTCGGTTTTTCGGAGAGGAGCGATCGCGATTCAGGCGTGCCATACGAGCCAGAAGAAGAGAAGCCACCAACGTCTTGCCGCAGCCCGTCGGGAAGATTACAAGCAAATCCCGAGCAAGACTTTCCACGAAAGCTTGTATCTGATATGGCCGCGGCCAAGTGTCAGTCAGGCCCTGCCATGAAAAGTCGTTCAAAAGTTCGGCGAATCGCACATCTGCATTCGACTTCGTTGCATCAGCCTCGCCAAGTCGACCAGACGGGTATGCAGAACTTTCGGACGGCGTAAGGTTTGCTGCCTGTGCGGTCCGGCCGAAGAAATTATCATCGCTGCGGCTCTCTATTCTCCGGAATGGTTCGTCACGGCAAACAAGATTCCACTTCTGCTTCTTGCTCAGAAATGTATTCAGAACCAGGACAGCATCCGAAGCAAAGCCAACAAACGGCGCACCGCTCGGACCAAATGGAAGCTCGGACGCCACGCCATGATTGCAGCTCCTGCAGGTCACTTTGGCCTTCTTCTTGGCAGGCTCCTGCACAACCATGGACGCATCCAAGGCGTAGCGGCATTCCGGCCGGAAGATCAGGTGAACCTCACCTTGGCAGCCGCAGACTGAAAATGGGTAACAGACGGACGGACGGACCAACAGACAGACAAGGCATGCACAAACAACAACTCGCACAAGGGGGAGAGAGCGAGAAGGACAGAGACACACACACGCACACAAACAAACAAACAAACAAACAAACAAACAAACAAACGAACAAACGAACAAAAGACAAACAAACAAAGAAACAAACCAACAAACAAACGACAAACAAACAAGCAAGCAAACAAGCAAGCCAGCAAGCGAACACGCGAGTTAACAAACACACAAAGACAGACGGAGACACAAGCACCGACACGCATGTCATACACAGCAAACCCAGCCAACCCAAACACTTTTGAGACTTTCTGAGTCTGTAGCGCCAACAGATTCGCATACCCCGTTTGACTGCTCACTTTCAGTTCAAGCGCATGGTGATCCACACTGAGCCGTCTTAACCTCCGTTGTTGGCCAGCACAGACGAACGTCAAGGAGCAGAACCCCAAGCGGCCCACGCGCATCGCGCGGCGGAGTGGAAGCGCTCGAGTCTGTGCGATGAACATTAACTGTAGTGTTGCTTGGGGGCCGCAGGTGAAAGCGGCTAGCCGCTGGCCAGATCCCGAGCCCCACGGCCGTTGCACCTCGTGGAACCCCAGACCTTTCATAGCTTAACATAAGCTCGCTCGCAACCCCCGCTTTCCGCACTTGGGCCCCGAAAGCAAACAGTCCAGATGCGCCGAACTGTGTTGCAACTCCTCTCTTCCTTCTCTCTCTTTCTCTGTGTCTCTCTCGCTCTCTTTCGCCAGGGCTATGGTGCCGGGGTTTGACCCCGTAGACTCGCTCTTTCTCTATCTCCCTCCCGGGTCATGAGGAGTGCGTCAAGCTCCTCTTGCGTTAGACAGGGCACGTGAACCGAGAGAAGATCGTCACGGTTGCAGGATGTTGCAGGCTCAAGCCGTCCAAGCTTAAACGGTTAGACTCTAACGTTCGGCTTCACGCAAGACTTTGATTCAGACATGTCCGCAACATATCTGCTTGCGACGAGTGCAAGGGGCAAACAATTAGAGGCTTGCTTCACAAGCCTGCTCCTTGTGCCGCAAGTGCGGCAAGACGCATGTGGACTACGTGACTAAGTGCAGCCAGCCACGCTCGTTTTTGTGGTAGAAGCAGAGGTCGTCCACGTTGGCCAGCTGCGATTTGCACCCAAGGCACAACATGGCAGTTGGACTCTCTGCGGCTTTCCTCGAGCCGTTATCTGCCAGTCAATGCGGGTGTCAGCTGCAAGGCTCCTGCACATCATGAACACCCACGGCTGCTGGCAACCGAACTGCCGCGATTCACTGCACGCCACCGTGTTCTCCGGGTGTGGCCAGTCAGTACGGCCCGGTAACTGTTATCACTGCAACTGACCCTGAACGAAAAATCGACTCCCATCGAAATTTTGGACTCTGTAAACCTTCTTCAGAATACATTGCCAAGCGCACGCAACAAAGCCCTGGACCTACGGGCCTAGGGTTCATGAAGAACAGAAAATTACAGCGGAATCCCATCACCTCATGGTGAATTACGACGTTGGAGGGGAATCTGTCAATACTATCCATACTACCAACAGACGCATCGCCATGCAAGTTCTACCATCCAGGCCTGGTCAAACTGCAAGATAATTCGACAGGTGGAAGCCCAAAACCCTTCAAACCTCCACCCTGTCAACAACGACGATAGTGAGCACCTTCTCCAACACTGTCAATAATGAAAGATTTTTTGCGGTATGTGGCGGTGAGCAATGAAACGGGCACAACTTTCTGGAAATGCGAGCGTTGGCCGCTGACCACATGCGCTCCTTTTCTCCGCCGCCACCCCCTAGCCCCATGGCAGAATAATGTGCCCGATGAAATTGATAGCCATGCGGGTGCCAAACATAGCTAACGTTGGAGAGCATCCGATCATTGTACTCCTTGCAGGTGGCATGAAAGACTTTTTCATCTGCAACTGGCCTGCAATCAGGCAATTGTGACACCGCCGTGCTGCTAACGTTACACTCAAGCACAGCTACGCAGCTACGCATCAGCTACGAAGCGCCGCCAAGCTAAAGATGTACTCTTGAAATGAAACTGCAGCTCTTCCGACGGCTTGCTGTTCCAACCTGCACCCGGTCGGGGCAGTCCGGTGGACTTCGCCAGTCCACGGTGTTGCCGCGGTGAAGCTTGGGGGGACAGTCCTCGGTTACTGAACTTGTGATTCTCTGCATGGTTCGAACACACAGAGAACACACAAAAACCGGGCAGAATCAATGATATGCACGAACATATTTACGACGCGCCATGCCGCTTTTGAACATGGGTGTATACTGCAAGGGTGAATTATCCCCAGTAGCTTCCTATGAATACCCTTGATGTGTGCGTACTGCCGTCCAGTGTATGGGCTTCTCCAAGCGTCGGCTTCGTGGTTCAAGGAGCCCTTGAACATTGAGAATGACACCTGACATCTTTCTGCAAGATCGCTGAGGGAAACATCGGAAATGTTCGAACCGTGCCTGGCACCCTTCGAGCAATTACTTAGCCTATACATGCAGGCTGCATGCAGGTTCCTCTGCTCCCGACGCTTAGCTTACCTGCCCTTCACACGATGCAGCTGGAGGTAGGATCCGAATACAACCAAAAGTCAGGTTGGACGACGGTCTCGGCAGGATCGCTGGGCACAACCCCGGTAAGCCAAGGCATCGATCACTGGAGTCGGGCGGGCCCAAGGCTCTCCCTGCCTGGTAGCTGCCATCGGCACTGAAAGTACAGTTCCTCGGGAAGTCATGAGCACAAAGCCCTCCCACAAAACCACACATGCGGCGGAAACCTCGATGGAACACCCTCTCCCTCTTCCACTGCCGAGATGCGACAAGTCCGCTGCAAGGCTGGCCCCGCCAAGCCACTCCTTGGCTTCCCATTCCGGACATTCTGTGCGCCTTCTTGAGCTTTGCTGGTCTTCACAACAAACACTCGCGGTGCGACGGTTGTGGTGCTTGGACTAGTGCAAGGGTTGATGGTCTCAAACTGCCCAGTCACCAGAAGTCGCATGCGGCCTTAGTGTTTTGTGTGTGTGTGTATTGGAACAAAAAGAGGCAGGGTACGTTGTGTTTCAACTCTTCACAAGCGGTCGTGGCATTTGTGTTCAACTGGTGCGACTTCACACTCTGCGATGCAGTGCCATTGGAACCACCGCGCTCTGGAATATGCCTGCTGCAACACAACTTTCTGAACAAATACAGGCTGCACAAACCTGGACGCCAGGCCGCTAGGCTTGTCAGCCAAGCACCATGAAGTGCACCAAGCTGTTCCAAACACCAAGTGGCTGTGGATCAAACTCGTCGACTGGGCTGAAAGTCCCCGTTGATGCAGCTTGGCCTGGTGCTGGAGAGGTGCCCTTCCCCTCTGTCTTTGAACATGCCCGGCAGACTGCAAGGAAGCCCAAGCAGCCCTAGCACCAGCCGCACTGCGTCCCCCATATGGCCAGTAACTCCTCCGCCAGAACCGGCTTGGAACCGGGCTGTTGCGTTGTTGCTGACTCTGTCGTGCTCCTTCGAAGCTCAGGAAAGACATCGCTGGTAGCACGGCGGAATCAGGAGCAAGAACGGACTTTCATTAGATGCGGTTGATTGAAATAGAATCCCAGGGCATCCCAGGGCTGCCCCATGCACAAGCAAGAAAGAAAACCACAGCTGCAGTCGTGGCTCAACCACCAGTGGCAGCGCCAAACAGGGCCGACCACTGACGCGCCCCCAGAGCTCACCTCGATCGTACCAGCCTGTGCGATTTAACGTCTCGGGGATGTCTTGTTCAGGATCGGAAGTTTGTCAGGTTGCAAGAATACTGCAGGACGCGTGGGCCTCGAGGCTTGCAATCATCTGTCATGCCGCACGTGACACTTGCATTCAGTACACCACATGTTGCATCCCGGCTACTAGGTGCCACGGCGTTACGACTTCAGATTCGTCAAGGTGCAGGGATGGTTTGCCACTTGCAAGCCGAACAAGGTTCTGACATCTTCGTTCAGTGATTAAGGACGCATCTTCAAACTCTACCGGATTCATGTTGGCAGAAACAGGCTAAGCAAACGCGAGCTTTCAGTGCAAACGAGGCACGTAGCAACTGTACCTCAGCTCGCTCGGCTTTTGCACCAAGTGTTGACATGAATCTTCAGGGTTCGCTTCTCCGCTCAGCGCTCCAGTGTTCCCAGTATGCTCTGCTGTCGAGACACAGAAAATCTTGGACACGGAAGCCTCAGACAAGTGCGGCGAAACTCGAAACTTCAGCGACCCTCTCAGTCTGCTGTCAAATAATCGCGGCTGGAGCGTGAGGAGATGCCCAAAGCACAGGCCCAAGCATCTCGGCCTTTTTATCTGCAAGACTGCTTCGAGGATTAGAAGCAAAAGTGACTGCAAGACATTTGCTTCGCCTCACGGTCCCTCATCTGCCACAGCTTCCGCTGAACCATGTGACACCTAATGCAGTTCGGCACCTTAGTCTCCCTTTGCTTCGTGGCACCAAGTAGCACGACCTTTGCATACTTGACCGTGTCCTTGACACCGAGTATTTGCCGGACGAGCGGGGCCTGACCGTGCGGACGCACCAACTCGGTGGGGGTGGGGGTGGGGGGGGGGGCAGGTTGGCGAGCGGGGGGGCGGGTGTTTCTTGGATGGCAATTGTCCCACTCCACAAAAGTTGATCGAGTGGATTGATTGAGATCTGGATATTGATTATTGCTTGATGGTTAAGGGTGTGCATATTGAATGTTAATGAACTGCAGGACACTGGAAGCTTTGTTTAAGCCCCGCAGGCTCAAAAATGCATGGTGATGCTGAAAGTCATAGGGTTGAAAGATTTACCAAGGTTCGCCGAACGACCGGCTATCATGCCCGTTGAACGAAGTATTGGCCTTCAGAGAGCCTGGAGAATGATCTCAAATCAGACTGACTGACTGACTGACTGGTTTCCTCACTTGGTACTCGACATACGAAGTCCGCAGGCAGACCGATTGATGACGATGTGATGATTGGGTCGATAATGCAGAAAACCACTGGTTCTTTGCGTCAACAATGGCGAATCAATCAAGCAAACATGCGTGCATTCGCATGCAAATTGAATTACAAGTCACTTGAGTAGAGATACCCGAAAAACGCGGCTTCAGGATTGCATTGAGAGCCTGAGAATGAAGAAGAAGTGATATGAGACGAGAACATACCAGACGCCAAGAACGCAATGAACACATGCCGAACGGATTCGAACAGCAAGCATCCATGTGGAGACAGTGTGGAGCCTTGCCTCCGGGACGAAAACACAACTGGAATCCGGTAGGAGGACCTCAGCCATCTCCGCCCTAATGCGAGCAAGACAGCGTTTTGCTAGTGCGGATGCTGTGTATGCAACCACGCCACACTCACTGGTAATGCGCCTCTCCATGCCTGGAACGGGAATGCTCCCAGCAGGACGCCTCGAGTGAGATGTCAGGCCATTACGTGGCCATTTGTTACTTGTCAACTGCACCGCGCTTCCTCGAACCGCAAGCACTGGCCAGCATGTGCCATTTTCTGATGAAGGGCACTGTCCATCTGCTGGTGAGCAGGCTGGGCTGGATGCCAGCACTGAGGCAGCTGTCGACAGAAACGGCACCTTGCGATCACCGGCACCGAGCAATGCATGGACGAGTACAAGCAACAATTGCGCCGCGCAGGACACTGTGCCCACGCAGCCTGGCAAGTTTTCAAGCTAGGACTCATTTCCCCACCCAGCTAGGACTCATGAGCACATCGGTTGATGCGTGCGAGATTTCTGCTCAGAGGCACTTGGCGATACCAACGGCGGCCGCGCTCGAGTTTGTCAAACTCGAAGGCCTGCACCCAAACCTCGGCGCAGCGTTTGCTCGCAGACCTTGTCATATGGTCGGCAGTGGTCACAGTTGCACCAATAGCCGATAGCCAAGACGGTACAACATGTGACAAGCAGCATCCCGGCGACATTCTTGCAAGTCCGGCCAAGGAACTGCATTGAAAGGGACCAGGGCAGGTCGCAGACTTCGAGAATCTTTACCCATCAGGGCGCAAGCCAGCTCCTTATTCAGATTCAGACGGGAATTGGAGTGGCACCCTGGACCCTGGGTCTTCAAGTTCAAGCTTCACCCATGGAAGCACAAATTAGCCACAACTTTACAACCCTGCATCTCCATCCCTCAGGCCCTAAACCGTCAGCTCCAAGACCTTTCGACTTGTGAATGTTGCCCGGTTGATTGCACGTGGCTGGCTGCATGCTGGCTAACCAGTTGCGACGTAGGGCGCACGCGAGGCAGTGGATCTGATGCATCTGGAGCTCAATTCGGTCCAAATGTCCAAAGACTCTTGGACAGGAGTACTCGCATGGGGCGCCCAGCGAACTTACTTGCGAAGCATTACAAGCAAGTGTCCAACTTTCACGTCTCAGGCGCGGCCACACCGCGGGAGAAAAGGTTGGCCCCCTTGCTCTGCGCAAGCTGCGAAACCTGGCCGGACTTGCTTCTGGCCAAGTGCCGCACTTTCTGTTCTGTGACTCGCAGATGTCGGGGTGCAGGACGGGTTGCACTAGACCGCGGGTTCAGCCACATAAGGACGTGGTAAAGCATCTTGGCCAAAAGAGTTGCCTCCAGTTCATGTGGCAAAGTTGACGACTCGCGCATGAGCAAGGAGCAGCCTGGCAGCACGCAGAATCTAGACATCCAAATTGCAAACTGAATGCCGGCCTGTCCAGCCGTCATTCTCGAGTTCAGCCGTGAGGGCCGCTATGGCCTTCGGGGGTGGTGTCGGCCCTACACGGTGCGGTCACGGACGGCTTCCATCTTTCAGACTAGTTCTCACCGGACACTGATTCCATGCCAACCTTCCACCACTCGAGCGGCGAGTCCGCCAGAATGAGGACGTCCACATCCTGCAAAATGCTAGTTCACTACAGAAGGAGGCACAAAATATCAGCAGCCGGATGCAAACAATTCTTCTGGGTTGGACCTGCTTGGCTTTGGCTGTCAAGCTCGCTCCGCTTTGATTCTACAGCAGGAAAAAGACCTTGGCGCCGCCCCCAATTGTACGTGCAACTAATTAAGAGACTTGCCGACCAAAACCTGATCGCTGGGTGCACCTGATGTGTATATGTACACATAATAAATACACATGTATGTCTGTACATGTATGATATGTATGAATATATACTAGCAGGGTTACGTATGCATGTGCTTATCTGTACACGCGTCTGCAGTAAAATCCGATGTGGCCGGTGTGCAACAATACACCGGGGCGGCACAAGTTCCTGTCGTGGATCGACCCATACAGAACATGGCGGTGGAGGTTCAATAACATGTGGCTTCGTAGTAACTGAGTGCTCAGCAACGCAAGTAAGATGGACGATGTCAAAAGTAAGGGTCCTTATCAACGAAGTCGACTTTGCCTTCTCCAGCATCCCAGGTTACAGTGCCGTAGCGCAGAAGGGCCAACAGCGTACCACCCGTGAAGAAGAACCTGCACACGGCATCAATCTGCGGCCTCGAACAGACTTGTCTTGCTTCAAAACCTCTTGACAAAAACATCTACAAGTCCCTTGCCTGATCGGACTTGCAGCGCTCCATCCTTAGGCGACATGTAGTTTCGACTGCCCTATACCGCAGGGAGTGCAGGCGTCCTTGAAGGACAGGGATGCACGTGCCATGTTCCGTGCTGCCTGCCGACACACATGCCGTCTGCATGAACCCTTTTTACGACAAAGGACCGGGACATTACACTTTGCACCAGCATTACCTGAACCAGTCTTGAAGCTGCCGGCCGGGCGTCTGTCCCGCAAGAAGGTCAATGCCCGAGCTACGGAAAGCAGTGCCTCTGACGTTCAGACTCTCGAACTTGCAAACCAGGGCGTTTGGTGCAGTGTGAACTTTGGAGCAGCGCGAACTCGAAGCCAAGAAAGCTTGGCCGTGAGTCGCAAGAGCGGTCCTGCTCCCACAAATCCACGCTGGAAGCCATCCACATGGCTTGTGGTCCAAACCTGGGCTTGAACGGCTCTGCACGTGCACAACTTCGTTACCACTCTGAAATCTGACGCATACGTGACATGTCTGGGTGCCTGGTATGACTTGTACTGGCCGAAATCACCATCATCGGGCAATCTTCGCATATTTGCTATTTGTTTCTGGGGCTGGACGAATGGCTGGCTTGGAGCAGTAACACCGAATCCTGCAGGAAGAGCTATGTTGTTCGGATATGCGCAACTGCTACAAAGAGCGAACACTGTGACTGGATTGGCGTCCCACTCATCTTGCTGCGAAGCTGCATGGCGCCAGCGGAGAAGTTCTTGGAAACAGGAGTTTCCTGCTCAAAGCATAAGTTGAGTTTGCAGCTTGTCTTTCGGGATCAAACTTCACGCACATCGACGTTCTTTTGTGTAAACGAGTGCTCGTTGAGCTGTGAAGGCGAATACACATACGCACACACACACACATACCGAGGAATCCTACGAGTAAACTGGGCTGGCACGCTACCTTTTAATTTCACAAAACTGATAGCCCTGTGCGAGGCCTTCAAACCGACGTGCCACGTAAGCGCCAATCTGACGTCAATGTCCCCTGCCCATGTTGGTTTGAACCAAGGACCTTCAGGGCAGCCACGGCCAGTACTAGCCAACACTCTCACCAGAACCAGTAGTGACTTGATAGCCGTCGACACCATAAAGCGTCAGTCATCCAGGAAAACTGTTCCTGCACGGCAGGCGCAGTCGTACGAAGTCGTCGTCATTACATGACGGTAGGGGTAGTCGTCGCGGTCGTCGGCATAGGGTTGGTGCTGTCAGCCGTCATCATTGTCATCGTCATTGTCGTGGTGTTGAGGATGGTGCTTGCGGTGTTGCTCATGGTTAGCAGTAGCTGCACTAGTCTAGTACTACTGCAAGCAGGAATAGTAGTCGTTGCTACGGTTGTCCTTGCAGAGAGCGGAGGATGCAGTTGCAGTTAGCACGCAGCATAGCAGGGACTGTCAACATTGTCAACGCACTTGCACATCTTCCACATCTCAACCGCCTGGGCTGCGAACATAGGCTTGGAATCGACGAATGCGCAGCTTCGCCTCGCGAGACATGCTGTAACGGAGACCATGTCTTGAAATTCCTGCCGGCCCCTACCTACAGTGCACACCACAGACGGCATAGATTGCCACTAGAGTCGGATCTTCTACGAAGGCGATCGAACATGAAACAACGGCTGTCTTTTTGCGCAGCCCGGCTACAGATACCGCAAGCCCAGCTCGCTGCTTCTCCCTTCCCGGGCCTGGGTCAGCAAAGACTGGCCCAAAGGACCCTGCCGCGAGTTCGTACCACATCAAATCAGCATGAAATTCTGCAAGCAACGCCCAGGGCCAGCAACTGGAAACGATTGGCTCGAGGCAGTGCAACAAGTGCAACAAGCCAGGAGGCGTATTTGCGCATCGCTTGACTTCGCCGAGTGCAATACGCCTTCGAAAGAAAAAGCAAATGCTCCAAGTAAAGCCGCGGACATGAAGCAGTGTATATATCTAAAAGAGTCAGCGTGAGAAATGGCACCTCCTTCTCGTGAACAGCTGCCGATGCCAGGATGTGGTTGACTATCCGCCCAGGAGCTTCCGCGGATAAACCTGGCAGCCTCGGAGATCGGAAAGGCTGTAAAGTGTGCGGCCATCATCCGGGGTCCCTGTCTTCTCCATGCAGTCTCGACCGACCCAAAATGCATTGCTCAATATCAGCCCAGGAGACGCTGACAGCAGTGACATCTCGGCCTGAAGACCAGAGCATCATGGAGAAATCTGCAAGTCATGCTAACTACTTTAACATGTTTCAGCGATGCTCGAAGCCACTTGGGCGATGTATCCTACATTCCTGCATGTGGAGGTACACACATGTGCCTCACTCGGCCCAGTCTTTGCGAACGCTGGTCTCATGCGTTGACACTCGTGTCGTAGTATTTATATTAGCTTTCAGCAAGGCTCGTTGTACACACACTCACACGGACACGCACACCCGATGGCTTTGTGATGCGGAGCTCGCGGCTTGACCTTCAAATGGGACTTCCAGTGCACACCGCATTCCAGGCAGGAAGGCAACATCACCTCCTTTAACAAAAGGAAGAAACAACTGACCAGCTGTTGAGAAGTCCCTCTCGCCTGCAAATACTGCACCAAAGGCAATAGCACTGGGCAGAACATGTCGACCAGGCGCGCGTTGTATATGACATATCTCCTTAGGATTTGACAGCTATCCCCCACTCACGGCCCAATCAGCATAAGCAGCACTTACACAGCAGGACATGTATGCATGTGCAGGTCTTGCGCAGGTCTGTCCCTCTGTGTAGTTGTGTGTGTGTGTGTGTGTGTCACTGTGTATCCGTGTGTCCTCTTCGTCTGTCTGGATTTGGGGGTTGTCTTTGAAGTGCCACCTTGCGGTTTCCGAGAAGCGTGAGGCCACAGAGAGCCAGGGTTCACTTGGGATGAGTGAGTTAAACTGTCCGGTCGACGAGGCGGCGGCTTGGAGCAAAACGAATCACAAGAAAATAGATTCAGTAGATCACAGCACGGTGCTACTACTCCTACTTGTACCGGTAGTTAAAGAGCAATTCAGCTAGTAATCTTCTTTCGTGGTGAAGGACCATCAGCTCTTTTTCCGTCGCAGGGTTCCACTCTCTCCATCTCCCCTTCCCTCTGTCCTCACTGTCAGACCCTCTGTAGGAACAAGACTTTGGTAAAATATAGGAGTGCCGGGGTCCCACCCGGTAAACCAGGCCACATCAAAGTGAAGGAAACGTTTCTTGGCAGCAGTGGCCGCCGGGCATACAGCTGCACCTTGCCGCAGGGAAGATCCGGTGCAGAGCTCGGTAACTGGTAAGTCTGGTAAGTAGCCAATTGACATCAGCTGTCCCTGTGGGACCAAAGACATCAAAGACTATCACTCTACCTTTGCTCTGGATGGCACGCATCACAGGCCCAGCTGGTCTGAGAACCCAAGGAGTGTCGAAGGCACAAACAGCGCCAAGCTGTGCGTCATTGGATTCCCGATTTCCGAGAAATCAACCTGGCTCCGGCATGCTCAAGCACATGGTTGACATCAACTTGTTGACGAAAGTCAGCGAGGCAACTGCCAAGACACATGTGTCACGAACGTTTGATTTCTCCAGGCTTTGCACGTGTCCATTCTGAGAATTGACAGTTGTGCCTCTCTGAAGCTCCAAAGATTGGAACGACATGAAAGCAATACGAAGGTGTAAACACCTCGTTGCGGCTGAGTTAAACCCGCATCTGACCCGCACCACGCCTGCACCCGCCCACATCTTGTCTTGCCAACTTCACCTGCAAGGTATCAGTTGAATTTCGGATATGTTCGGTAGCCACGTGACGGCAAGAAGCACTACGACGCTAGGTTGAATGGGCAAAACTCGGTCGGCAGAGCGGCGATTCAGCTGAGCCATCGCCACTTGGAACCACTCCTCGAGAATAGCTCAACAAGATGAATGGACAATGAATGGATGCGCCTTCTGGGTATTTTTGCGTGACTGTGCCGGGCATTGCTTGGCTATGGCCTGAGACTTCGTGTGTCCCGAAAGAGGCATCATTGATGTGTACAAACCCGTTCATCCCCGTCCTCTCCACAGCAAGCGGGAAAGCCTGCATGCAATAACGAGTGTTGGGTTCATGGGCCTTCTTGCATTTCAGCCATGTGCAAGTGAGACACGTTGCTTCAGTATGCTTCTCGTTCCTGATGCCTCTCATCTCTTCGGTGCTCTTGCGAGTCAGAGGAACGGCCGTGCCACTCGCCCCCCTCTCCCCCCTCGCACCAGCAGCCATGCGCCAAAGACCCAGTGCCAAGCCGGTAGCCGTAGCCCAGGTGCTGCTCAGCAGGCTGCAGCATAACATGGCTTCGCCGTTGTTCTTCTATGTCAGAGTGTCTGAGTGTCTTCTTCGTGGTTGTGGCGTGGGGCTTACAGGTCCGGCTGCGGTGATTAGCCTTCCTGTGGCCTGAATGTGCTCCTGAGCCAAGCAATGTAATGGACTGACAGAGGGTCGAGACGCGGCTACTCAACCTGCTTCGAAGCTGGCAAGCACGGAGCAGCACCCTGTTCTCGGCTCAAGAGTCGCGGCGACTGAGCTTAGCATTCAGTGCTGCAATGCCACAGCAATGCACCGTCTCTGCACTGAGAACACAGGGTAGCGCACATGCGTTTTCAACCGAAATGGCCTGTGCATCAATTGGTCTGGAGGTCTTTGCAGGCTTTCAGCTGTATCCTGGCCGGCAGGTCGCCTTCTTCTGCAAAGCTTCAAACATGTTGCCGACCCGTCCACCTGCAATTCCATATTCCAGATAACAACGGAGTGATGACGATCCAAACCAGATTAGATACGGAGCAGAAGAAGGCTTGAGATCTACTCGTAGCAGGGTTTGTCCTGCTCTGTGCCGTTCCCTCGGCAACTGTGCATGGTTTGGCCTCGTCACCCAACGATTACACTTACGCTCCACCCCCACCAAAAGCTAGTTCCAACCGCTGCTGCAACAGACAAAAGCTCATACATCGGAAATCTTGAGTTCTCTCGTATGCCCCTGCCCCAGACCTCCGAAGGCAGGAGCTGCTGAGCTTCCTAGAATATCTACAAGGGGACTGATGATCTTTACGAGGCTCAGCCGCCACACGTGTGGCAGACAAGCAGAAAATTGGAAAATTGGATCTGCCAAGAGAAGCAATTCGCGAAGGTCCACTCTACGACCGCCTTGCCCCTTGGATGGTATTAATGGAATCACATGCTGTCAAGAAGTCCTGGGCATTATTCGGTGCACTGCTGCCTGGCAGAATGTTGGACTCGTCGTCGGGATGCAGCATGACAAGTTTTGATACAGTTTTTTGCTGCAAGTATTCGTATGTTTGGTACAAGATTGACAAAGCGGCCATGCATCTGTACCAAGTTTTCATGGCCCTACGCTGGCTCGTATGCATCCGTCCTCTGCAACTGTACTCCGACGTACTCAAACAGTCAGCAGCTCAGCAAAGTTAGGACTTGGACACAACGACAAGGTGCAAGGACGAACGAAGGAAGATGTTCCAGGGATCGGCTGCGCAAGCGCCGTGCTCAACGGCCTTACAAGAGCAACCGAATAGTTTTAATGCATAAACAAAGTCGGAAAGCTGATGAATATAAACTTTGCCTGGCGGCGAAGCTACAAAGGGCGGCCGGCTGCACTGCGCGCAAGAATTTCGCATCGGCTCCACAGTGGGAGTGGAGCCCCTCATGCTCGCATGGTGGGTAGACAGACAAACACAAACACGAAGTGGGTCGTGAGCCCGGCCAACCCACCCACCTGCAAGTCTCGGCATCCGCGTAACCTCGTGGAGGTGCACTGACGGACTCTTGGCCAATTTGTGGAAAAGCGTTGGCGAGCTTGTCGAAGGCTCAGCTACTTCAGAAACTTCAGAAGTCGTGCGCACTCTAGCCGGCTGCCATGCGCCCGTGCCACAGGCCACAAACAACAATACCGAGCCGACGAAAAAATTAAGATATCAATAGTGATAGGATACACAGCATGAGCGCCCGAAACTGGACAGCAAGTCGAAAGCTGGATATACGAGCCTAGCCAGAAGATACTGAAACCATTCTCCACAATTCGGCGAAGAAGCCCTGAGTACACCTCACGAGTCTGAGCAAAAAAAGGACCTGGGCAATCGCCAGCCTTCTTGGGCGATCGAGAGCCGAAAGAAAATCCACTCACGAGGGCAGCCCTTCGAAGACGTATTCAGTTCAAGTCATCGAACCACGAGTCGGGATTTTCAGAACAAATCCCAAGTGCTTCCATGCGGAGCCCAGGTCCATGTCAAACAGTTCTGGCTCCTCTCAGATGCTCACGTGAGAGGCCCAGGATGGTGAAAGGTCGAGCTTAAAATTCCCGGCGCGGGTCTCGATACCTGCACCGTGTTGAGTCGGATCAGGCATCGCTTCGTCCTATTGCACGCTGTCGAGTCGCGGCCTAATTTTTGCCACCCTTGCCCGGGCGCCACGTCTCTTCCACAGGAACCGGCCTAAGATCCGGGAAGCTCATTTTGACAGCATCAGCGGCTGGGATACAAGTGGACAGCCACCCAATGCTGCAAGCATGGTAGCATGGCGAAGTCACAGCGGCTCTGCACTCTTCGCAACTTATGCCGAAATGAATGAAGCACTGACAAAGCTAACACTCTAGGATTCGGACAGTGGGAGATATGCTGGGATGTCCGGCACGCCCTGGCAAGTGCAACAGTTCTGGTCTAGCCGTCTGCTAGGCCAGTACCGAAATCACCTACATGTTCATGGCATCCTGGAGACATCTGTGGCAGAGTCTGTGGAGCGGACTGATTCGAGCTATGATTAGAGCAGGCATTGGCTTCAAGTAAAACAATCGAACCTGCTGCTCCCAGAGTCCTCATCCGATACCATACTATGTTTGTCTCAAAGGCTATGTCTCCAGATGTGGCCAAAGTCTGCCCACAAGTTTGAAACTGTGCCGGGTGTCCGTGGCGAAGTCGTCCTAGCATCGCGAGTTGTTTCTTGCTTGGATGCAGTGCAGGGTGGATGCCACTCACTACGCACGCCTGGAGTAGCGATCGAATCTAGCGGAGCGGCACAGTTATCCCGAATTTTGCTTTTTCCTCAACATGCGACCTCGTGACTTGTGTGTGATATCACTTGTTTAGTTTCGACTCACACTCTCGCACAGAGCAGGCACGGAGTCATGCACTTTTGATTTAGGAAGCACGACCAGCGGGGTTCAGGGGACCCCGGCTGGAGGCTCGCAGCAGAACTTGCCGAGCAGCGGCCTCGGCAAGAGAGACTTTCCCAGACCGCGGTCTTCCCCCCCCACTCCGCAACCACCCCAGCACTGTAATCGCACTTGATGGCATGCTACGCATAATGGTACTATGATTGTACTGTACCAGTGAACCAGGCTTGACCCTTCATGCTTGCCTCCCATGTAGCAAGGTCTGGAAGCTTGAGCCTTGATTTTGGCCCTTTTGTTATGTGACAGATCGAGCCGGTCCAGGGCTCGCGGCATCTCGCAGCACTGCAAAGGAAAGTTGGCCTTGCCGTCATTGCACTCGAAGTCATCCTGGCAGCGTCGCACAACACAACCCGAACCCGACTAGGCGTTGATAGCAAAGAGAAAGTCACCACTGCATGACACTGCGGCGCATCGTGTGCTTGTGTTGTTGCGTTTTCCATCGGCGCGCCTCGCAGCCTTGGGGCCTCGGGACTTGTGACAGTGAGGTTGGCTGAACGTCTCTCCTGTTCTATACATAGCTACAGCCGAGCACGACAGCGCATGACATGCTCTGAGGCAGGATCAGGCCGGGCAGCCAGCCACCTGACAACCCAGGGGCACAAAGCTCCGCTATTTTTGAAGAGAGTGGAACTTCATCTTAAGCATGACTCTCGGAGAGACATTTTCTTCGTGCTTCCTTTCGCCCCGCAAATCGATCGGAGCTTCTGTGGCATATGCAGGCTTTGTACATTGGCCGAGCGTGTCGCAGCGCAGCGCCTCCGACTGCTGGGGTATTCTTGTCACTTCATATTTCAAGGGGGAATTGCTGTCAGACATCGCAAGCTCGTCTTGACTCTGCATCACAGCCCCTGACCGCAGCCACGAAAGCAAGGGCTTCACGGAAGACTTCGGGATGACAGGCTCAGCTCAGCACTGTCACATTCATTTTCTCGGGAATCTGCCCTCGAAGAAACCACTCAAATCAAAATTCCCAGCAGGTACCAGCAACGGGCTGAGAAGACGAAAAGAATCAACTCCTTCGAGGGTTCTGCTTCCCTTCCGGGGTTAGCTTGCGGCTCTATCAAGAGTTTTGGCTACTAGACGCTACCAGTATCAGTCAATGGCAATGGGTATGAGGTCACTGGAAAGATACGAAAGAAGTCCAGGGCAGAATCTAAGGCTCACAGGCATTTTTTGCGTTCGTTTGCAGCCCGTAGAGCTTTCGGCGAGATTGTTCTGGGGGCTTAAGACTGTGTCGGGATGCGAGTTCGCGTTTGATCCTCTTGGCTTGATGTTGTCGTCTCCTTCCTTGTTAGCCTCACTCCCTCACCAACGCGTACGTCCTGAGAACCAACGGAACCATAAGCAACCACTACTCAGCGTTCGTCTAACTTGATATCACTTGATCGTACTTATGACCTCAAAAGTTTGAGAACATCGCGAAACTGCGTGAGTCGCAAGACTGTCCCCTCTGGCCCCCTGCCGCGCTGGCAGGGCTGTAAAGCCAGCCCTTGTTGGCGGGCTCGGAGCAGGTGGCCTTTCTCGACGAGGTCGGGTGGGCGCAAGGCAAACTTGTCCACACAGATTTGCCATCTGACTGTAAAGGAAAAGCTTACGTTTGCTCCCGCTCATGGGATGACGAGCACCTGAGTCACCTGAGACCTGAGGGAAAAATCACTTCAAATGGCTTGGGCGCCCCACAACTTCGGCTGGTCATTTCGACCATCATGCTTTTCTGCGTGGCGTGCCCAGCAGGCCTTCTGCAAGCACTGCGTGTGGAATAACAAGCAAGAGGCCAGATGTGGCGAAAGTAGATGGGACTGCGAGAAACACGGTCATGTACCGCTAGGATTTGGAAGTGCAGTGGCTGCCAAGACGGCCATACCGCTTTGCAAACTTGACGCACCACAGCCAATCCAGCGGAGCTGTCAGACTTCGTCTTTGGAGCTGGACGTGCGTTGCTGCCTTTGGGTTTTCGAAACTGACGCTGGCTGCAGCTGACCACAGCCCTGTTTAAGGAATCTCCCTCAAAGCTCAGCAACAGTCGACCTCCAAATTTGGGTCCAACCTGGACTAACTTCTTTCTGCTTACCGGATTGTTGGACCCAAAGTCGTAGAGCAAAGCCCGAATGGG